AACTTTTTGTTAGCATTTCAAATAAAAGTGAGTCGAGTTAGACTGGAAGTGGCCCGGGGGGGGGGGGGTAGCCCCTGTTTCCGATATAGCTGTTTGTGTTCGACCGTCATTCATTGCCAACAAATCACGTTTATATATTTTCGTTCAAAAATCAGGGTTTGGACTAACAGATTCACCAGTTGGTCTAGCCGCTTATATCCTTGAAAAATTCTCGACATGGACTGACAAAGACTACATAAATGCACCAGACGGAAATCTACACAAGGATTTCTCATTAGATGACCTACTTACGAACGTCATGATCTACTGGACCACAACTACTATAACGTCATCAATGAGATATTATAAAGAGTTCTTCGAAAGAGAGGGAAATGAAAAATTCAAGTAAGACCGTTTTCTATTCAATATGGCAACCAATTTTTATTCTGAAATTGTTTTACGTTTTACAATTTATATTTAGCTGGATCATGGAGTAAACAAGGGCAAATGCATTTATTATCTGGCTTGGGTGAACTAGGCAAATCTTTTAGTGCGCATTTCTACAGCTTTGACAATTTAAAGGTTGTATAAAACTACTAAGGTGTTTCTCACTCCTTTTCAAAGCAAAAATACAGCATGCTGCTGTGTATATATAATACTGATTTTTACTTACATATTTTGAGGTAGATACTTATCTTTCATTTCATGTAACAAAACAGAAAATTATAACACATTGTTGGAGCTGTTACAATGATACCTACTACAAGATATTCTTTAAAAATTCATATATTGTTTTCTTATATAGGGATATACTATATACATCCTTTAACAAATTCCTCTAAAGCCAGGAAAAATAACTTGTTTATTTAGGTTTAATGTGAAAGTATTTCTTTCAGTGCAAAGGTTAAAAGTGTACCTACTGGATTGGCATGCTATCCGAATGAGATTGGAGGATGTGCTCCCAAGGAATTCACGGATCTAAACTATCTCAATACGATTCACTACTCAGATGCCCCGAAAGGAGGCCATTTTGCGGCGTTTGAGGTCCCCGAGTATTTTGTTCAGGATATCAAAACATTTGTTAATAAAGTTGAGAAACTGAAAAAGGAATGAAAGGACTCAATAAATCAACGCATACATATCCTGCATGAATGCATGACTTGTTAAACATGACAATTGTATTATAGATAGAGGATTTCCATACAGCTTTAAAATCTCGCTAATTCTAGTTTTTTTAGTTTCAAATAGACTTGCATATTAAACCTCTAATGGCTTACATTTCAATTGAATAACATATTTGACTTTCAATTTTTCTGGAAGATTTGGGTTAAATCTCCAAAGAAGCAATGTTACAATTTTGAAAATCCTTGGTTCCCGGTGTGAAAGAAATGATGGTCCCCCAGGGATTATGGTCCCCTTTCTTAACGGCCCTTACTGGCCCTGATTGCGTATAAGATAATGAGGGAAAGAGTTGTATTTAGGTCACCATATAAATCAATGGAGAGTAGGACCATAATTTGATAGGACCTCCTACCCTTTTACACCGGCTTAGTTCAACAACCAAAATTTTGATAAATCATGAATTTAAGTGCACGTGAGTATTGGACGTTTTTAACATTGAAGTCAATGGCAGTCTTGCCCAACCAAAATAAATAAAAACAAGTGCTGACATCTATTTATTCAGCTTTATTTAGCTATAAAACAACTCTTTCATGCACCTATATACAGGTATTTGGAAGAAGCGTAACTGCAATCAATTAATCAACAATGATAAAGTCATTTGCATTGCAAATGATTTTTATAAATGAATAGAACTGCGCCACTAGTGATTATATGGTACATTGTTCGATTTTAATTCAGCATTGATAATACAGAGTCACCCAAAAATGCCACGAACTAGCTATATTTGGAATAGCTTTCTCAATAGTGAGGGAATCTCCATAACTTTTTTGTGAAGATGGATTGTCCAATGGAAGAAAGATTGGTGTTCTTGTATAGCATCAGCAACTTTGAAATTTCACATTTTTTCGGTTAAATCTTCAAAAATGTTAAAAAAAAACATTTTTCTGAAATTGGAATTTCTGTCTTAGCCATTATTTGTGTCATTTTTGGATTGCTTTCTCATATATTATCATAAATATGTCATATCTACTCATTTTCCTTGAATAATGTTGTCAAATTTAATGAACTGACTCGTTTATTGATTAATTTGAGAAAAGACAGATTTTCCAATTTACATTTTTGAGTGAATTTGTGTCAGTGCATGCCTCCGCGGAAAATAAGATATCTCTTAATTTCCAAGGCGTTAATAATATGCAAGCATATCGATCTTTCTTCCATTGAACACACTATCTGCGCATTAAAATCATAAAGATTCACTCATTATTGATAGTTATTGAAAAAGTAATAGGTGGAATTTCTTTTGGGTCACTCTGTATATACAGTGATGTACTGTTAGTCTTAACGTTGTTTATGAATAATTAGGCTATTTATTTTGCTGAAATTTCTAAACGCAAACGTGTAGCAAAGTAGGTGTTCGGCTTTGAGTTTTTTCCGATCATTATGGAATTTTTCTGCTTCATTATTAGTATTTTACAACATTTATTCGTAAATATAAGTTTTGGATTTGTTAAATGCACATTTATGTTTATTACGTTGGTATTTGTATTCATGCATTTTTTGTTCCTTAATCTAATTTACTTCGTTATAATTGTATATGTACGTGCTTTATACCGAAATGCATTAAAATTCCTTAAAAAGCATTTGTTAGTGACACATTGTAGGCATATATCCATATACAAATAAAGGAGTGGTATCGATATGGAGAACTGAATTCAACAATGTTTTTTGATTGAAATTGAAAACATTGAAAACATTCTGTAAAAAACACGGTATTTTATGTAATGTTGACTGATTGACAACAATTTAATGCGAAAATTATTTAGAAATATTTTATATAACTGTTTTTGTTAACATTTTTTGTTTTTTTAGTGCAATTGTTTTTGCTCCTTTCTACCAATTCTTGAGAATGAAATGAAATGTCTTTCCGAAGCTTGTTGGAACAAAATAGCATATACAACATGTTTTTAGACCTCTTAATATTATAGTTATACAAATTAATTTTTGGTTGATTTTAAAAAAGTATTCAAAAAATTAAAACAAAATCCCCCCAAAATAGATAAAAATCAAGATAAACCTTTTATTTCATTAACAAGATACTTTTTTTAAATCAACCAAAATTTACTTTGTACAATTACAATATTGAGAGACCTAAACATGTTGTATTTATGTCGTTTTGTTCCAATGAGGTTCGGAAAGATGTTTCTTTTCACTCTGGAAACATGATACCAAGAACAAAACATTAAGTGTTTGATGTGTTTTCTAAAACAATATAGATGAAAGTATATATATATTTTTCAAATTATATTGTTACCATTCAAAAGATGACCATTAAATTGACGATGTGTTAAATTTTTAGATTTTTTATGACTGGTTTAAGAGAAACGTGTGTTCAAAAAGTTCTCCATATCTATACCGCTCCCTTGAGTTCATTTTGTTCCTCTATCATTCTTTCTGCAAATATATTAGTTTAATACTTACGAACTAAACGTAAAAAACAATGAATAAATTCTAGCCTTGGCGTTTTATTTTTTAATTTTCGAATTTATTTTCGTAACAAATTAATATGTTTTCGCAAAATTGCATATTTATTTTTCGTAAACATTGTCAGTTGTATTCGTAAATTGCACGTATATCGTCGCTTTTCATTGTTTCATTGAAATCACGTGATCATTCTCAACGAGACATGGTCAAGACATGGTCTAAGTGATCGATCACCCCCCCCCTCAAACACACACACACACACACCTAAAAGATCACCCCCCTCAAACACACACAAACACACCTAAAAGTCTCGTGACACTTGACCTATACATCTAGACTTGCAGTTTACTCGCATTTGTATTCGTAAACTCACATTTATATTCGTAAAATTTCATTTTGTAATTCCCTAATTTACACATATTTCTTTGCTTTCTGCAATAATTCATGGTTGATGTGCAAGGTTATCATTCGTAAAAATACATTTCCTCCATAAAACAACAGGCAATTCTTTTGACATTTAAGAATAATAAGTGGTCGTTAACGAATAGCAAATTGTTAGTTCCAAATTATTTTTAGTCCTTACAAACATAAAATGCACTCGATTTTAGGATCTATTTCATCATTTGCTACATCATATATGCATTTGTAATTTATCCATTTTCTTTGTAAATGTTCATAAATATTCGTATAAAGAACCTTATTACTAACGAGTACTAACCTTACTTCAAATAATGATTTTGTTGGACAGAGATTGAAGTTCAAAGCCAGAACTGGGTGTTTAGGTATTGGAACTGACCTCAAAAGAAGAAAATGTGATGATGGTTTTTGCAAACTTTGTTCCCTTCATCCAATTGATGATTTAACACACAGATTTTTTACATGTAGTCACAACCAACTTGAAAGAATTGATTTTTACAACAGAATTAAAACATCATGCTCCCCTGATGTATTTAATATGTTCTTAACGCTTCCTTTAAATGAAAAATTAAAGTGGTGCCTAGGAGATGTTGTTTTTAGTATTTGGGGCAAAGACCAAGGATTCTTGTTTGACAAGTGTGTCAAACATTTTTTAGTGACTATTAATAACGATATTTTAAACTCATAACATGTGTACAATTTAAACTCATAACATGTGTACAATTTATCTATCTTTCTATCTGTATTGTATTGTATTTTATGAATATGTATTTGTTTTATGTACTGCCGCACTGGAATTCTCCATTGTGCCACTGATTAAAAAGTGTTTGGCAAATAAATAAATAAAAATAAAAATAAATAAATAATGAAGCAGTTATGACGCTATAGATCAACAAGCACATTCAGAGATCCATTCCTTTTCAGCAGGCACTGGCGTAAATACAATAGTATCGAATGAAAAGAAGGGGTGAATTAAGTTGTTGCTATACATGTAGGGTACTGAACAAATTCACTTGAAATGCGCTATGGGAGCATTGAAGTTGGCAGCCGTTCTAGGTTTAGTTTCTGTTCTATTGGGATACTACTTTCTCAAGGACACAGATGTCGAACCGCCTAAGATGGCTGACCAATGGTGGGGGAAAGGGGCAACACCGAAAGAGGATTCAAAGGATATCATCAAATTCGAAATTCGTGTTAATGCAACGGAAATCGACGGATTGAAACTAAGACTAGAGAACACGAGGTACCTATGTTTTTCCTCAGGTGTCCAATGAAATGCCCACCTCATCCAATCAATTTGAGGGATATCAGCTAGTTCAATTAACAAAAACCAATTCTTATTAGTCTCTCTTGGCACCATGTGTCAAATTACGGTACATGTAGATATAGTCAAGGGGATAAAATAAGTGAATGATAAAATAAATGTTTTTAATTTGTACACAATTTTGAGGTTAATTTCATTGCTTTATACATGTAGGTATTTTGAGGCGCTTGAAGACGTCCAGTCGTTTCAGTATGGGTTTCACGCGACATACATGAAACAAGTGGTAAACTATTGGATGGAGTCGTATTTACCAAACTGGGCAAAACACGAGGAACATTTGAATAAGTTTCCACACTTTAAAACAATGATTGGTGGAATAATGGTGCATTTTATACATATTAAGCCTAAACTTAAAACAGGTATGTTCTGTTTGTATAACTTAGATATGGTACATCCCGGTGATTTTTCATTACTCAAAATGTACTGTCTGATGTTTAAGGTCATGTCGTTTCTAATTCAAAATACAACAAGCCTCGTATATAAAAAGAAAAGACAAGTGGAAATACGCAAAGGAGACAACCTACTTCATGCAACCCTTTAAGTGGTTGTTCACTAGTACTATGCCTACAACAATATCCCACTTGGCCCATCGAGTCCCATCTTGCCCAAACGAGTCCAATCTTGCCCCATCGAATCCAATCAAATCCCACCGTGCCCCATTGGTGTATGTCGGGCTTCATATACCAAGTCATATGATCGAAAATATCACGATACTCAATGGAAAGAATGGACATTTTCATTCTCGATATGGCAAGATGGGACTCCGTGGGATTAAGAAACATTTTGATTCCCCATGTTAGGGAATACGAGAGTAGGGGAGTTCGAACCCCCAGGCTAAAGATTATTTCAAATTTGTATGCATTTTGACCATTTTGAGAATTTTACATATGATTTCGGGCCACATTTGTCAAAGTGAACTCCCCTGGATCTTTTTGGAAAAGTGAACAAACCTCAGCTTGCTACATACGGGTTTGTTGTGTCAGTAAATAACTACCTTAAGTCCCTGTTTTGACAAATAGGTATTCATGCAGTAACGAGTTGATACTATATCACACTACTCTACTACGTGAACACGTTTAAAAGGGAAACATGGTACAGTTAAGTTGCAAATGGAGGACGTGGGTTTATTTCAATATTTCTGAACGTAAAATTAATTTTACATTAATTTCAAGTGTTCTACCAGACATGAAAAAGATTCGTCAAGCAGTTTGTAGAATATTGTTGGCAAAAAACATATAGGCAAAGATAGAGAATAGTGGGCGCAGTGAAGTAAACATTGAAAGCAATACAAGATACATTTTAGTAAAAATCTATTAACGTACAGGGAGCGTGTAAGTTTCACTTCGAATATGTTACTTCTTTTGACATTGATATGTAACAAAAATGTTATTTATACTGCTTGCCATTGTGTTATATGTAGATACGTTTTTCTAGTATGTTATTCAACTGCTTCTTTAATTAATTGTTTTTCTAAAATCTTAAGATGAATAAAAAGTCCCAGAAATGTATCTTTACTTTGCCGTAGGGCAGAACATTTTCCTCTAGTCACAAAGAGGATAATGTTTGTCTTGAGGTGTCTTGTGGTGAGCGTTTCATGATTAAATGCAAAATCACTGGAGCAGATATAATCCCAAAACATTTGATATTCAACATGTCATGTAAGACTACATCGATCTGGTAATAGTTTTCAGAGTTAAAAGTATGGGTTGTTCTCTACAAATACACTAATTATATCGCACTAGTCTAGTTAACATTCAAAATGGCAGCAATAATCATGTGCTAATTTTTTTTATTTAAATTCATTGTTGCAGTGACCCATACCATGTGTTACGTGGTAAACACGATACAAATATATGTCATATTCCACAACAAATATGGCATATTCACTTGCGGTGTATGCTAGATTCACCTGCAGTACACACTAACCAATGAGAACGCGATAATGAGGTCAATTTCATCGATTCAACAAACGTGCTAAAGTCTATGAATTTTTATTATGATTATTGAATCAACATCTAAGTGCATTGAATATGAATTGAATTACAATTACAATTGAATTACATACACCAGTACGGAACCTGTATTGTTTTTTGATGTTGTTTTGTGTATGTGTTACATGTAAAAACACACTTCAAGGGAAACATTATGACGCATACATAAACGAACCTACGTTCGTGAAGCTTATTACCCTACTATCACACAAAAATAATTATCACTACGTTCTCGAAAACAGGCTTCAACTGTATACGAACGGACTGGACGTACTCAGAACCGTTTGGGATCTATTTACAAACTTCTTGGACGTACTACGAACGGAACCGTCGTACTTCAATCCTACTAGGGACGTTTTTACAACGAGTTGAACTGTCTGAGGACGTATTATGTTATGTTATTTTATTTACCATCTACAAGATGAGTACATATACATAAATATGTTACAAAAATAAATATACGAAAAATACTACAAGTTATAGGTATGTTAGATGAGCAAAATTAATATGCTCATTCGATTAATATATTAATATCTATTAATATGCTCGTTCTATTGAGAACGAGGTAGAACTAATTGCAAACGGGTTTAAACTGATTAAGACTGTATTAAAGACTGTTTATGAAAAAAATATAGCTATCACACCAAACAAGTTGCTACTGCGTTCTTTAAAACTGGTTTTAAACTGTGTGCGAACAAAATGAACGTAGCTGCAACTTTATAATGTCTATTTACGAACTTCATGAACGTTCTCAGACGGGAAGGTGATTTTAGAATTTTGAAATGATTCAAGATTCGATGGCGACCATACCATTCTGTAATTAGATCGTGAGACAACATAATTCAAACGAAATGACCTACTAGACTTGTAACGTAATTGTATTTCAACCCTACTAGGGACGCGTTATACAACGTTATGCAGTCGGATATCAATTGCAATACGTGTGCACACCGACATGGTGCGATCTGAACGAACTGCGAATGAGATGGACGTATTGAAGACTGTTTATGAACGTAGTAGCTAATTATTTTAGACATATTTCCCGACCATAGCCTGGTTTAGCTCGTTTTACGACGTAGGACTGGAAAGAACGGTTGAGAACTAGTTTGGTGTCAGAAGGGAATAAGTGACTTTTATAACCAAATCAAAAATTCTGTATCATCAGCTTACTTTCTCGCTCCCTGTACTATTGAGCTACTTACATTCCTTGCCCCCTGTATTGATCAACTTTTGAAACTATGTACCCTGTATGTTGACATATCAATTATTTTAAAATTTAAAACAATATTATTTATATTCTTCCTTCAACCATCATATTACATTGAACATGAACTTCACTATTCCACCATTGAAGTTCAGCGAATAACAATATTGACTCAACCCGAGCACCAAACGTTTTAACATGTTGACTAAGCAGTCGATATACTCGAAAGCGACCTGGTTAAAAGCCAAAAAGTTCACACATGCGCGATCGAGGTAGGATAGTGTGTATATTGAAAGCACACTTGTGAAAGTCTTAGTGTTCTAGGCTATACTATACTGACTATTTGACTGCCTCACTTGGTTGAAAAGAAGAATATATGTTTTAAATATTACTTCACTTTCTATGACGAGAACTAAAATATCATCATAGAAGATAAAGTACTATTTAAAACATATATTCTTCTTTTCAACCAAGCTAGGCAATCAACGTAACATTGGTTATTTCATTTTATTTGAAAGTTTAACATATTAAAAAAGATTTGTTTGCACCCCAAATGATGTCACTATATTTGTCATGGTGCAACTGCAAAGATTATGATTAAATTCAGTCATCAAAAAATCAATCTGCATTTACATGTTTACTGCAGGTCAAACGTCCACACCACTTGTGTTAATGCATGGATGGGCGGGAAGCGTGTATGAATTCTACAGGGCGATTGATCTGTTGACTGACCAACGTTCAGATACTGTATTTGAAATCATATGCCCATCCATTCCTGGTTTTGGATGGTCTGAAGCACCTCATAGAGCAGGTACATTGTTTGATAGGACATATTTTCTAAACATATATGAGCCTGGCCATAGGAAAACCTGTCTTATCACAAAAATTAAAATTGTGCTACAGAGCCAAAAATGTGCCCAAGATTAAGATGAAAATGTGCTAAATTAAAATCCGACTTTTTGGTCTATATATGCAAGGAAAAATCGTTAAGTCATACGTCATGGCTCATTTGAAAGGTCTCTTTGTGCTTTTTAAGATAAACAAAACAACAAAATATTGAAAAATCTGTGATAAGACCCCTTTTCCTGTGGCCTGGCTCATATATAAACGAATCTGACCGTGTATTCTCAGTATTTTGGATCCTTTAATTTCGGGAGCCGTATCCTCCCTACAGGCCTGTCAACTGTCCCGCAATTTGCGTATTTGTCACGCATTTGCTGAAGAATTTGAAGTCACGCCAGTTATTTTTGCGTGACAGAAAATGTCACGCAAATACGCATTTTACCTGGTAATTGTCACGCAAAAATATTTCTGTAGAAAAATTTCTAAAATAGATCGTCTACACAGCAAAAATACGAACGCGGGAAAAAAAATGTACGCATTTCGTTCGGACTTTTCACGCGAATTACGTATATGTCACGCATTCCGTTCGAAATTTTGTATATGTCACGCATTCCGTTCGAAATTTTTCGTACCTACCCCCCCCCCCCCCCCCCCCCCCCCCGTTGACGGATGTTTGAAACGCGAGCGTAGCGAGCGCGAAAAATTTGAGGTGTTCAAAATTTGGCAAGATGTCCTAAAATTTAAACCAAGGTGTTCAAAATTAGGATCAAGGTGTTCAGATTTGGACCAAGGTGTCCACATTTTGAGGGGAGGTGTTCAACATTTCCAAGTCACTCATGTTAGGTGTTCCCAAGTTGACAGGCCTGTCCCTACCTGCCATTTTGAAAGTGGCACGCAGTTTGTCAGTGTTTCAAACTGCGGCCTAGTGAACATGCGCCTTGACTATCGCATGGTGAACCTACCTCTAAGGAAAGGCGATCCATCTGTAAAGGATTTCTAGTCGAAGCCCTTAAGTGTAATATAACGTCATTTGAGAGTCTAACTGAATACATATTTTTAAGTACACTTCTGTTTTTCTAACTTGTACCCTGTATCTGTATGTGTCTAAAATATCCCAGGTTTCGACCAGGTGGCCACTGCTCGGGTTTTTCTTAGACTAATGGATCGTCTAAAACTAAACAGGTTCTACATTCAAGGAGGAGACTGGGGATTCATTGTAGCTAAATATATGACACTGTTACAACCAGCGTGAGTACCTGGTAATTCTAGTAGGTTTGAAAAACGTGTTACATTCATGGAAAAATGTGGACTATCAAATTATCAATACAAACATGTTCTTAAAGAAAATAACTCACCTAGTTAGTAGCAAGACAAGTTTCGAATTGAATACTAACCTTATCTATTTTAGAATATTCTGAAAAACAACTTTAATAATGGATATTTGATTTCAAACTCATGTATGTCCATATTCTCTTGGTAGATAAAATATAATTAGATTTGTTTTAAGATAAGGTAAGCAATATTGTAAATCATCTTGTTATGATTACCCGTCGTGTTGCCAACAAAATGGTTGATATCAAAACACATGCCTCGTCTTCAATAGAATAACAGAATTTGAACATACGTATGATTAATATTAAATTGACTCTACACAACTGTCTAGGGGGGGGGGGGGGTCAAATAGGCCTGGACGCCCTGCTCTAAATTTATTGGTGTTTGACAAAGTTACTTGAAACTTGTCAATAACAAAGGTCAAAAACTACTTCTTTCTTTGAATTGTGAACGTTATAAACGATGTGTTAAAGTTCATGGACAGTATCCCAATTGAAATTACAGAGTATAAATGCAGATGAAACTTAGATTGCAAAATCGGAAAATATAATGACTGGTGTTAGGTTGTACACCTGCAGGTCATCTTTCATTTTATGAAAATTGTTGATGTACCATAACCCTAGGAGTTAAAGTATTTTAAATACAGTTTCGGGGGCTTGGTACAACTTCGTCTACATCCGGGTTCTTTCCCATTGGATTACCAAGGGGTGCTATTTTTAATGCCGCACTGCGACTCTATTAAACATTTATGTAAAGTTTCATTTGCACAAACGATGGGTATGTATGTAAATTAAAATATATAACGAAGCTTTTTGAACTATAATCCCCAAATCCGAAGAAATCTGTAGTTGAAAATGCCGTCCAATACCAGTGACGTCACTGATATCTCAGAAATTGCTCAGACGCCATCGAAGATCGAAAAAATATAAGCAAAGTTAGAGCCAGGCGTCCAAGACTTTTGGATCCCCCCTCGTAAATGAAAGGTTTCCAAAAAGAAATAAAAATAACAATTGATCACCGTGTATCAATTGGTAATTCAGCAAAATTCTGGGACTTCACATGAATATGGCTGTATACCAGTTTCCATGGAGCCCAACTCTTGGTGGAATGGCGCGACAGTTGATTGCTGATAAGTTCCCAGCTTTGTTTGTGAAAACAGAGGATATGTGGAAGGTCATCAACACTGCTGAAAAACTAATGTTTTGGGTTCAAGAAATGGGTTTTTTCCACTTGCAAGCTACAAAACCGGATACAGTAGGTAAGTGTCCAGTGTAATACAGTTGGAATGAATTAATTAAAGCCCCAACTTCTGATGCACGGTGAGCCCAAAATTCTTATGACCCAGTCATCCAGCATGTGTTAAAAATCATATTTGGCAAAACTGAACCCTGTATGTTCTTTCATTCTACTAAGTTGCCGGGCCAGTTCTAGGGGTTTTAGTGCTAGTTTAGAAGGCATTCATTTTACTATATCGACCTGAGCGATATGTGACGTGGTCATAGTGGCGGTCAATATTGCCGGTCAAGAATGCAATTAATGACCGGCAATTATCTCCGGGAAATTAGATATCGTTCAGTGCGTAATATAGGATTTTCTTGCTGTTTCAGTCCTGGTCATTAACGATGGTAATAATACTAATAACGTCATTTCTGCGGGCAATATAGTGAAATATTGGACCTTGGGTCTTCGGCCCTCGGTCCAATGTTTCACTATATTGCCCTTCGAAATGACGTTATTAACGTGTGATTCATTGTTTGAGCAAAAATAGTCATTTCTGAGAGTGGGGTTCGTTTCCTGTCTGGAGTTCGTTGATCGTTCAGAAAAGGGGGTTGTTCCCAGCTAGGGGTCATTTTATAACGAAAGGTGTGTTTGAGACGAAGGGGATTCGCACGAGTCCCACACACGAACCCCCTCTTTTGCTACCTCCCTGCTTCTAGAGTTGTGAGTATAGACAGTTAATTTCCTTGAGGTAGCTCCAAAGATAAACGTTTGGGGATTAATAGAGGGTGATTTTGGCATGTTTCAGTATCTTGAGAATGTTATCTAAAATGGCCATAAGATCGCGACCATTAAAATAAACCAATAACTTTTATATAGAATGAAAGAATCTTGAGCACGGTTTAATTGTGCTAAATATGGTTTTGAATCCATGTCGGATGACGGAGTTATTAATATTTGTTTGGGTTACCCTTTTTTAGCTCACCCTGTAGCTGCTATGTTTTTGACCGTCAATGCTAGTATATCAGGTTTATGTGTAGTAATTACGTTCAAAATTCAGGGTTTGGCCTAACGGATTCACCAGTTGGTTTGGCAGCTTATATCCTTGAGAAATTCTCGACCCTCACTAACGAAGACTACAGAAATGCACCAGACGGAAATCTCGAGAAGGATTTCTCATTAGATGACCTACTCACGAACGTCATGGTCTACTGGACAACAAATACTATTACGTCATCAATGAGATATTATAAAGAATTCTTCGAAAGAGAGGGAAATGAAAAGTTCAAGTGAGACTGTTTTCTACTTAGCATGGCAGTTGTCGTTTTAAAAAGGTTTAATGTTATAATTTGTATTTGGCTAGATTATGAGTAAACGAGCCAAATATATTATATTGCGTATTTCTGCAAATTAGCTTTTCGAGAGGGGGAAGCGACTCAAGATTGCGTACGGATGGATTGCACGCCGACACACCCTGCAGGCAAAGCGTCCATAATCCGTACGTCCGTCTTCCTCCTGCTACAAACAATTATGCGCCGATGACGTATACTCATTGAAAATAAGGTCAACAATTTTGATTCCATGCGCATGTGGTTTAGAGGGGAATGAATAAAATTGTGTAATCCCAAATACAAATGTGTCTTCCATCAGCCAAATTGGAATGTTTTTTTGAAACAGCTTCGAAAGAATTTGGTTCGAATTGCGGTTATGTACGTGATCGGATAATGCTTTGAAAAATTTAATCCCTAAAGTCAGAAAAAACAAATTGTTAATTTTAGTTTTCAGTTTGAAAGTATTTCTTTCAGTGCAAAGGTTAAAAGTGTTCCTACTGGATTGGCATGCTATTCGAATGAGGTTGGTGGATGTGCTCCCAAGGAATTCACGGATCTAAACTATCTCAATACGATTCACTACTCAGATGCCCCGAAAGGAGGCCATTTTGCGGCGTTTGAGGTCCCCGACTATTTTGTCAAGGATATCAAGACATTTGTTAATAAGGTTGAGAAACTGAAAAAGGATGAGACAGAATAAATCAGTGTATAACTGTTTGCATACAGAAACATGAACTTTGTATTTATAAAATACATGCGTGCAATATACAGGGGGCAACGCCAACTGTGCAGAGCTGTTTGCCTCATATATTTGGGAAGAAACTTGTCTGTGATCAGTTATAATTAATCCACATGATAAAATCATTCCAATTGCAAAGATGTTTCTCTGTCAGTGATTAAGTGAGTATTTCAAAAGATCAGTGTCAGAAAATTAACTGTATTTGCACAGTTGGGGGAGGGGGTTAAAAACCTTAAAAGTTAGCCTACCGACATTGAAAAATTGTAATATATAGTGTGACCAACAAAATCAACATTTCTCAAACACAGTTATACGTTGGGAGGGGGTCACAGATTAACTTTTCAAATACAGGTTAGTAATCATACATTGAACTTTTGAGATGGTCCCTTATGCACACTGATACCATTAGCATACGATCCTTTAGCATTAAATCCTTTATTCTGATATCAGATATATATAACGTAGGTCAGGTGATCTTTCATTAACTTTATGAAGTGTCGATGTACAATAACCCCAGGAGTTAACGTTTTTGAAAAATCCACAAGTGTTTTTCTTATTTGAGTTCAATTTAAGTTTTAAAATAGGGTTACTTAATAAATACTATTTAATTACATATACTTCTAAATAAACATGTAAACAAATAGTGACGTTAAAAAAAGAAAATTGGGAATTTAGAAGTGAGGAGCATCCGCTAATGATACGCCCGTTGCATGGGGTACTGTAGGTGGTTTACAAATTGTTTTGTTTTAAGTTAAACAATAATAAGACATACAATAGGGAATGCAAATATAGAATTTCATCGTGGATTATCATACTATGCATATGAATGCACAACTACCTAAATGTATATTTCGAGTATTTAATCAGCTGACAATATGATTTACTTGTTTAACACACTTATGTATTTTATTTTAAGGATATATTTCATTATTGCTTTCTCTCACAATGAAAATAAATGCTATAAATTCAAGCTTCAAATTTTATGTACAGTTTATTTGTAATGTTTACAAATAATTCCATTTATCGACACAGATTCCTGATCATTCACCAGGCTTAAACTATTAAAGCTTAACATGATCAAGGACACACAGTTTCAACTGATAGTCATATTACTGAGTTGCTCAGTGCCTTTAGCCGTCGAGATAATTTCATGGCCCCACTTGGCGAAAGGAAAGACCGGCGAACTTCCCATTGTTGGAAAATGCATCGATTGTAACAATATAGCCAAAGAACGATCGCGTGTTGGATTGAAGATAAAACCTACATGTATCATCGTGAAAGAGAAAGGATGTAAGAATCTAAAACCTCAGAAGAATCTTTTGGTGGCGAGGGGATCTCTGAAGGATAACAAACCAGGAGATTTTGTGGTTTTTGAATGTGAACAGGGATATAAACTCAAAGGAAAACCCCGTATGGAGTGTACTCGACGGAGAAAATGGTCCCCAAAAAAGCTTCCGAAATGTAAAAAGATTCCAAGACCAAAAGTCAAGTTCAACACTAATACTACTCGGGAACCTGGGCCAGGTATTACGTAATCGCAATTATCATATTTTTACGCCGATAACTTTTGTCCCAAAGAGTAAAGTAGCTGTCACATAGGCCGTGTGGACTCACCGTTCGACACCGCGCGGCTAATACTGGGCACAAATCTTTGACTCTGGGGGTAATGACTTAGAAAATGTATTGAGGCATCACCAGTTATGTACACGCATTGTTCATGCAGTCTGTGAACAAGTGGTGAGGGATCTCTGTGTGGGGACATAATCTAGTCGCCTAAGTTTCCCTAAACTATCGCATTTCTAAAATGTGACAAGAGTAGTATACGTCAGTAAATATGGCGTAAGATATTGTTCGTATCTTACCCTAGAGACAATTTTGTTTTTGTTGTTTTTGTGAGGGAATTTATTGTTGAGTGTTTATGACTAATTTAGCTTCCAACACTAATGTAACTAGGTGAGTATATTACTTTTGAACTTCATTTCCAAAGTTTTAGCCGAAAGAACATCTAAAGATACATGATTCTGTAAAATGGTGGTTAGGTAGTTGTCCTAGCCTGCCTCGTGCCCGGTTACGCCCAATAGTTTAATGTGTGAAATTGAGTTGGGTATATTTCATTTTAGTATGCATGTGGAGTGATTGGACTCCATGGAGGCAAAGTCCTTGCTCTGTGACGTGTGGGAACGGGAACGTGACAAAAATACGAAATAGGTCAGAAATGTACGGGTTTTCGGAAACAGGGTCACCAGAATGCATTGGGGACGCTTTTCAAATAAGACATGTATTGTGTAGCTGCGACCGACCTTGCAAAGGTACTTGGGCGTAAACTCAATTACCATATTCTGTGTATGTGTCATCAGTGAAATAAGGAGACAAGGTCAATTCCACAGTTGTGTTTTCCAACGTGTATGTATAAACAGAAAATTACAGTGTATTTGCATGAGCTCCTTGCCTCTATTCATCGTTTTATGGGTTGAGCATAGAGGGAAATTGCAATGCAAGAAGATTTTCAAGTTGTATTAAACTGACATAATATCAAGCTGAAATGAAATATTCTTGTAATATATATAACCCCCGTTCCTACAACCTGGTATAATTAACATTGATGTGTTTCTAAATAATAGCGTGTATTTGGAGTGACTGGACGACGTGGACTCAAACTTACTGCTCGGCCACTTGTGGAGGCGGAACCCAGACTAAGACACGAGTTCGAACGAGAACAAAACTGTACGGTGTTTCAACGAACGGTCAGCCAGAATGTTATGGGGAGTCAATTGAGCGTATTGATACACCATGCTGTATAGGTATGCATTATGTTTAGAGTCCCAATGTCAAGTTTGAAAATATGTTTTTAATATTTATTTGCTATTTTATCGTGACTTATTAAATATTCGTCATGACTCATGAAGTTATTTTGATATTTTATTAAAATTAGGTCAACAGGACAACCACTTTCAAGTGTGTGTTTCATTTCGTCAAGTATGTAAAATACGCATTCAATCTGTAATTGTGATTTTCCTTCAAGCATAGACCTTTTCAATAAATCCTGCCATTAATGTAATATAAGTTCTAAGCTACAGTAGTTTATATATTATCTAGATAGCTGATGTCATTGGTTGTTTGTAGCAGTCTGTCCAAGCAAAAATAGGATTCACTTGCTAATTTTGCAAATGTACAACCTATGACATCGCCAATCAAGCCAATATATGATTCTTCGATGTATCAAAAGGTGGCATGGAGGTGACATGAATTGCTGGAGAGGTCTATTGAATTTCGTTGCGCGTGCAAATTAGAATTAGTTTTGGATGGAAAACTAAACACCTCAACACAAGCATTTAGACATCAATTGGAACTTGCTACTGGCCTGCTACTGTAGATGCTAAAATTACTCATCTGTCTGGATTCTCTCTTCTTTTCAAAACCATTTTGGTAAAAATGATTTAAGCATGGAATTCAATGCTTTATAAATGCGCGATCCACGGTCTCAATTATTTTGTGTTCGGATTGGCCAGAACGCGATATACAGCATCTGGCTATGTGTGAAAGTTAAATATACATGATATAGCTTTTTTTATAAATTAATATTTGATTATACAATCAAGATGATCCGGAATGCGCTTGGGGGCCTTGGACTGAGTGGATGGAGTACGAAACATGCGAAACATATGGATTATCTCAATACCCGAACTGTGACCTACCAGGGATGCAACCAGAAACAAGAAATCGATCATGTATTTGTAACGGAGATATCCAAGTGGGAAATACACGAACTCAGCGCTGTATAGGCCCTAGCTTAGAGCGTAGACTACAAGAATGTTGTATTTCTCTGACTTCACCCCAAGGTACATGGATGTAACATGCTTACTAACACTACTTAAGTTAATACTATTTAATCTAATATTAACTGAGAACGTGTACATGTATTTGTAATTCACATACTGTACGCAATGGATTTATCAATTCCAACCTCAACCATTCATTTACTTTATCACCGTCAATGTTGTTTTGTTTTAGAAAGATCGATTTTGATTAACATAAAAAGTGGACATCATTTTTTAAAAATTGCAAAATGTTTATATACCCTTCGCGTGTACCCAGAACGCTACTACTATAAATGCTCTATAATATATATATTTGATCTTATATCTGGATTAAATTTCAAATGAAAAACTAGGATTGTATAGAAGGCCGGAAATGTCGGCATCTTATTTATATTGGTCGCCTGCAAGCGCAATATTTTCGATAACACCAACACAATGCGTACAAATGCGTACACCGTTTTAGTCGATGCATCATACGTCATTAATCCGCCAATACACGTCGAACTTTATTTGACAATTTTTATTTCAGTTGTGACGTCTACACCAAGTACTACACAACCCTTAACCACCGTGCCTAGCAAAAAGGTGTTTAGAAAAAGAAAAATGATGGAAAACAATTGACATAATTTTTTAGACATTGACTGTTAATTTAAATATCAATAATAGTAAATAAAGCAAATGGTCTTTCAAAAGTGTCAAAGTTCTATATCAGCCAATTGGCACCTTTGTTATGTATGCCATAGAAATGGCATGCAATAAGGCTACACTTTAATTTAGTTCAGTTGCGGATTAATAGAAATCAAATGGACAAGTTATATAGTCAGAAAAAGCTGATCATCCGACCGACAATAATGAGAAAAAGATGACAATTGCATTTTGATTATCTGGATAAAGCATAAGCGCCCCTTTAAATTAATCAGTTAATTTTAAATTAACTGACTAAAACTATTTTAGCGAATTCTATTCTCCAAACGCCAACTAAAAGCCGGTAAGATTAACGTTAACGAGTCATTGAAAACTATACTGGTTTAGTGATTTATTTACATATATTTGATTACTTAATATTTAATTACCTACCTCGAACAGAAAATACAGATCCATATAAAATTGAAAATAATTTAATTGCATACGTATTGGTAACCTTTAAATATAAACAATTTCTCATTGTAATCCCGGTCTTGAAACATGATTGCAGTTTTGTCAAGTCTTATCTACCTCAAACAGAAAATACATACAGAGATGGTAGAACATAAATTTCCTATTGAATTGAAAATCATTTAATTGCATACGTATTGGTATTGTTAAGCTTTGAATATATATAAACATTTTTACATTTTACTATGAGCAACTTTTACACATCCTGAAGTATTGTTTATCTCAAATGTTTACAAACTGTTAAAGAGAGTCAAAATAACGTCATTTTGGGAAACCCCCTGAGAAATTCCCAAATGCGGCCATATTGTTTACAATTGGTTAAGCACATAGCAACCAGGGATAAATCGATTTATATGTTCAATTCTCAGCGGTTAAAGAACGGATTAACGATCACTCAGTTGGTATGAGCAAGTTAAGGCTACCTGTAAATCAGAGAATAATCAAACAATATGGATGACCCTGACAATCTACAGCACAGTCGAGGTGAGTCTTATAATTAATAGTTATCCTTTTATTTTGGTGAACATAGCCGAGACCCGGGAATCCAGTAATACAACTTTGTTTATAAAAGTCATACTACTCTGATATGTTGTGTGAGTCATTCGACTCACCTCTATGTATTATGCTTAAATTATTTTCTTTCATACAACCTTACAAACAAGATATCAACACAACCCAGAATATGTATTTTATTTTATTACCTAGACCTAAGAACGTTAAATGCACTGTGTTAACGTTTCCCTTTGATGCTCATTTTGAATATGTTTGACATTCTCATTCATTATGCTATCCCACCCAGTACATGCTACTGTACATACTATATGTACTATACCGTTATAATACGGAATAGTCTGTACCTCTTTAAGCCTCGTACGTGTTAGTTTTTAGATATAATTCAATACGATTTAGTAAAATCTATTATACCAGTACTTTATATCGATAATGCCAATTTCACATTATGGTTTTGAAATACAATATTGTTTCAATTATTTCATGATAAGCCATAAACACATATAGTGATTGGATACGTGTGTATATAACTGATTATTTATTTACTTAATGTACATGCCTGATGCCCCCTAGAAAAGGTGGCTATGAGTTAAGAATTTGTTGTTAAATCATATTCTCCTGTATTTAATTGTGTCCTTTATATATTCGTAGATAGAAATGATGAATCGTCAATTACGGGATGTCCCTCATTCATTTTACACGCCTGTTTTAGCTAATGACGTTTTGCTATTATAGGTGAAATTAGACTAATTAAACATTATTTTAATACACATATAAATTAAACAAAACTTGTCAGTAAGAGCATTCTGATAATTATCGCATCCTTAATGCTTTTCAACTAGAAATATTCTCAAACGGAACAATAACTCGAAAGCCACGATTTTTCTGGATGCAGTAATAGTGACTTTCGTGAAATACTCTTTGACTGATAAACCTGTCGCTCTGGTTGTTCAATAGGTTTAAATCTGAATCTTATCATATCAATACAAATACAATTGGAACGTTTAATTACATATAATACCCATTTTATCTTTTAGACCGACAACACTGGATAAAGCTGCGCCATGACCCCTTGCTCAACGTTACCGACAGAGTGACTCTTAACGAAGCGCAGGTAGCAGAATCAGAAGGGGAGCAGATATTGAGGTATCGCCACCTATCGGAGAATGATCGCCATCTGGTGGACAATGTTTTGCGCGGGAGATTACCCTTGGAAGATCTTCCAAAGCTTCCATCAAGACTTGTCAGGGTCTACCTTAGCTCGACATTTACAGGTAATGGGCGCCAATAAAACTCTTAGAAAGTGGGAAATTGACACTATTGACTCTAAATATGTGTTGACAACTTTTATTTGTTTAATACAAACTTATTTCATTTTGTAGATTCAATACAAGAAAGGAATGTACTTATGCAGTATGTGTATCCCAAACTGAAGGAATATTGCAGAATCAATCACAACATTGAGTTCCAGGTACGTAGATCTAAAATGTTATGCTCACTACTGTCTCAGGTTACCCAACAATAAATAATATAAAGAAACAGTTTATGTTTATTCAAATCGGATTGCAAATATAACCTATACATACATTATATGATCATACATGAATTTCATAGCTGAAAATTTAACCTAGTCTGACTATGTTGTGAATTCAGCCAAACTCATTTTGAAAAAGGTACAACTGTTCACAGACATAGCAAATGAATACAAGTACAAACGATTGGCGTGTATTTCCTCTGTATGGCTTTCAAGGTCGTATTGTACCATGTAAATAATTAATATGAGACTGATTTATAAGCTGGTTCTGCTCCATACAAACATATCCTTATCCTGATCTTCAGGTGGTAGATATGAGATGGGGTGTCCCACGACATGACACAGACGACCACTCAGATACAGATGTTTGTCTTGAGGAAATTAACAACTGTAGACGGCTGTCATGTGGGCCAAACTTTGTAGTAAGTCTGTAACATCTCTTCTCATGATTTTTATTTTATTCTGGATAATAAAAACTGATGAAGATAAATTCAAAACTAAAATAGTTAATACAACTGCAGACGACTCCCTTGTAGACCTTCTGTATTTGTTATGTTTTTTCATTCTTCCAAACTTTTGAAATATTTTATTTCATGTATTTGTTTTCAAGGCGTTGGTTGGTCAGAAGTATGGTACGCGACTTGCGCCTTCCAAACTTTCGGTCTCTGACTACGAGGCTATTCACGATGCGCTTCAAGAAGCAGGAAGTAACGTCAAACTTCTTAACATGTGGTATAAAAAGGACGAAAATGCAACTCCGAAAGCATTTGTTCTCCAACCCATAAGCTTGGTATTAGGCGAGAGTAAGTTGATAGCTTGCAACCATTTTATTAAGCTCAACAAATACCAAATATCATCAAGTGACATCTTTAAATATCTAAAACCATAATTTAAGTGATAAACATGTCACACACACACCCAGCCTATTTTAATAGTTGGCCGACTTCAATTTGCAGGCAACGCTAAACAGTGGTTTGATATGGAAACACGTCTCGAACAGATTCTAATGAAAGGAGCTCTGTTGGCAATTAGACAGGGGCGCATAGATGAAACAATTGTTGAAACACTCCAAATGTCAGGTAAATTGAAACCACCAGATTTCAAGTTAAAATATATTAAGACACTCAATCCCTGTAGATTATATTTTGTAATGTGCCAGAACTATTAATGTGCTTCATTCAAGTCTTCTTCAAACGTGTTTGTTTGTCCCTTTATACCTTTATATTGTTTTTATAGGAACTCAAAAAGAACTGGAATTTGCACTGTTTGATGAGTCCAACTCAACACTGAAACTCAACGAGAACACAGTTTGTTATCTGAGAACAATCACAGATATTGAGAGTCACATGAACAAACCGAAAGCACAGAAGTTTATGGATATTATCGCAACAACCAAGAGAGTTGACAATAGGATTCAAGACAAACTACAAACGATTAGAGAGGTCAAGATTCCAGGGGTAATAGCTGAGAAACGTATTATGAAGAGTCATGTTGGGTGGAGTGATCCCCACGGTATAGATGAAACAGCACATAGTGAATACATAGATGCGTTCAGGGAACATTTCCATATGCAAATGAGGGACCTTATCGAGTACAATATGAACTCACAGGTGAGAATATTGTGAATTGTACATTTGAATTGTTTACACGACCGTCATTTAATTGGGGGAGGGGGTCTTTTGTAACCCTAATAATGATGGAAACCGAATTTATTTTCAACTTTGCACATTGTAAATGTTTTGTTATTACGTTTCAAAATTTTGTGATTGCTTTTTCTAGACAAGAATGCAGACTGACGGGCTCTACGAAGAACAACTTCAGCATTGGCATGCAGCTGATGCAAGGTGCAGGAACTTTGTTGGACAGGAAAAACATATGCAGAAAATTCTCAACTACCTCATAGGCGAGACTGACCAGCCCTTGGTATGTTGAAGTTTGTATTAAGTATAAAGTAGAATCATGCGTGACATACATCATCTCAGTAACAGTTTATTGGTTAAATTCTTGCCTTCTGAATGCTCGGAGATTCAGGTAGCATTCCTTACTTACAAAGCCTCCAATTCTGTAGTGGAGTGTCCCATACTTCTAATTTGGCAATATAAATAAGTATAATAGTTCTTGTTGCCAGCATCACTCCATTCGTGAAACAATGGACGATTTTCTATTCAAATGTTAATCCATGCCGCGATACAATCAATTACTATAATAGATGACCTCATTTTACAGTATATAAGTTGTATTGATGTACTGCCTTTTATTTATTGAGCTAACAAATTTTATTTTCTCAATCTCCAGGTTCTCTATGGTGAAGGTGGTGTTGGCAAGACATCCATAATTGCCAAAGCCTCAAGTGAGGTTCAAAACGTCGCAAAGACAATAGGGCTTCCCCTCAGTTCATCCTGCCTTCTCCGGTTTATTGGGTCGAGTCCGAGTAGTTCAAACATCCGCCAGCTTCTGACAAGTATCTCTGCGCAGATCGCGTATCAAACTGGGCGTTCGAGAAGTTTAGTCCCTGGCGAATATAAAGCTTTAAAAAAGTACTTCATGGATATGATGTCTCGAGGAGAGTTCGGAGGTCTCGTGATTATATTCCTAGACTCGTTAGATCAATTGACAAGTGATGATAATGGGCAGTCCTTAGATTGGCTGCCATCAAAACTCGCCGATAATGTCAAAATCATCGTGTCGACAAGACCAGTAGAAAATGGCATCCTTGATAAGTTGAATAGTAAAATCGAAAACAAAGAGTATATTCATGAAGTTGGAAGGCTCACCCCTGAGGAATGCACGGCGATTCTCAAACAGTATCTCACAAGCGCTGAACGAACCCTAAATGCTCAACAATGGCAGGTAGTTCATGATACATTCCGTTCACGGATCTGCACTCTCCCTCTTTATATTCGACTAGCGTTTGAGGACATACGCCGTTGGAACTCATACACAGAGGTCACTATTCGCTCAATTGGATTCACTGTTGAAGAATGCTTGAATAAACTATTTGACCGACTGGAAGATAAACATGGGAAGATTGTTGCTTCTCATATACTAGGTTACATCACGGCGTTTGGTTCTGCAGGAGTTAGTGAGAACGAACTGGTTGATATTTTGAGTATCGATGACGTAGTTTTGGACGAAATTTACAAAATTTGGCATCCAACAGTAAGGCGGTTTCCCCCTGCGTTGCTGTCTCGGTTACGTCATGATATATCACCATATTTGGTAGAAAGGGACGCTCAAAGTACGTGTGTGATTGGCTGGTATCATCGGCAATTTATAGAAGTCTCAAAAGAGCGATATCTGTCAAAACTTGAACAGATACTTCATCTTCATGGAAATATATCTGATTATTTCCTCGGAAAATGGTCTGGGATAAACAGAAAACCCTTCAAATACAGTGACCGATGTGCCAAAAAACGATGTCTACACGACCCACATTCCCTTGGATTCAGGTATCCCGCAGAACAACCGCTGATATATACAGGGGATGACCATAATGCTCGATTCAACTTTAGGAAACTGAGCTTGCTGCCACATCATCTAGCGAAATGCCAAAGGTATGGACACAATTTAAAATTCGCAATGGAAATATTAAAAATTCTCACATTAGTATATTTTGTATGACAAAGAATTATAATATGTTTTATTGTTACTTCGGTATATATTTTAAAGTAAAATTTACATTTTCAAATCTTACAGTAGTTTTAAAGATTATAGGTAAATGTGTGAGTGTTCAATGAAAAGCGTTTTACATTGTATTACTTCAATTCAGGTATGAAGTGCTAAAGGAAGAAGTTCTGTTCAACTACAACTGGCTACATACTAAACTAGTCGCAACAAACTTCCAACAAGTGATAGCTGATTTTGGATTGATTGATGACCACGAAACAACACTAGTTGAAGAGGCTTTCAGAATGGCAGAAGCTGCGATTGTTGAGAACCCGGATGTATTAAACACTGAACTTAGTGGTCGTCTGCTATCACATTTCCACACATTTCCAAAGATAAAATCACTCATTTTAGAAGGTGACCAGTTGGCAATCAAACACTGTTCTCTGGTGTCAAATTGCCAGATGTACACTGTACCAGGAGCACCACTACAATATATATGTGACGTAGGAGCAGGGAAAGGAAGTGAGGTGAACATTGACGTCATACAAAACGCTAAAGGAGTCCTCCTTACAGCTAAACAATTCAAAAATGGTACTTTGAAAACGTGGGACATCGCTAACTGTGAGACGCAAACTCCAATTAATGTTCCTGGAAGTACTAAGTTGTATGCCTCTCCAAATGGGGAAATGATCAGTGCAATAACTGGCGGCCAACTGAAGACAACACGAATCGATAGCAATGAGGTAATAAGTGACGTCACGGTGGGAAACGTGAAAGTGACGGACGTTGCAATGTCAAATAAGTTCTTTCTGTTTACAGCTGAGCAGGGTCCAAGTCCTTGGATTATAGACATTGAAGCTCAGTGTGTATTAGATAAGTTGAGATACAAGTCTGACGCAGTTGCATTGAGTGACGACGGACAATATACAGCATGTAACGATGGTTACAATATCTCATACAACACCGTCCCCCTCCTTGAGAGAAAGTGTCTGATCAAAACAAGGGATCTTTCACAACAGATCGCCTTCTCAAGAGACAACACTCGTTTTTATGTAAGATTCCAAAGCAGGAAAATCACTTCGTATAAAGTTGATCTTATCGACCACAAAGCAACATCAAAAGATATCTTCCATGATATGGAAATGAGGGATTTCAAAATGTCTCACTATAGAATATACACTCTGGTAAGGTGCTCCAGATGTCTTTTCCTGATCGACACCAGCACAGAAAAGGTGACACATCGGTTAGAAATTTCCAAAGAGGTATTCATAGAGCCTCTTACAATATTCACAGGTGTCGGGTTTACTCCCAATGACGCAATGGTCGTAGCCTCGAGGCATGCTTACGTTGGAGTTTGGGAGACTAAATCTGGTACGCTACTTCGTATACTGCAATCTTCTGTGTCCCCTGTATCACAGTTGTTTACCTCATACTCGCTCAACAAAGCTATAACATTGCTAGAGGATCGCTCAATCCAGATTTGGAACTTGGACAATATGAATGAAAAGGTTCACTACATGAAGAATGTAATCGAAGGCTCAGTTCGGAACATTGATCTCAGTTCCATTGGAAAGAAAATCCTTTGTTTTGGAGAAAACACAAATGAAGCAAAAGTTGTTGATCTAGTATCGAGTGATCCGCTTCTCACTATCTACCATAGTGACGACCCATATGACATCATAGAGGAGGTACGTGTCTCCCCATGTGGTAGATATGGTATAACACGTGTCAGAAAGACGGAACTTATGAATAGTGAACCATGGGATCTTTTGTATGAAGACATTCTATGGGATTTGAGCACCGGGAAGAAGATACACCACGCATTGAACTGCAGAGACGTAATATTCAGCCAGGACGACAGCATTATTGGGTTTATCACTTCCCGTAAATACAACCACGATGATTGGACGGATAATGATTACGTCATTAACATACTCAGACCTGATACTCATGAAGAAGAAATCAGTGAACCTCCACCTGCTGATTTCGTCACAATTCCCTTCATCATGAAAAAGAACACCTATATGATCTGTATCATGCAATGGTGCGTCAAAACATTCAATGAAAATGGGGATGAGACCAAGAGAGAATTCCAAATACGACTGGTTGCTAACAGTCTTACGAGGCCACGTGAATATAGGAATGCGCGTGTGTTTAGTCTGAATCAGATGATCCCAGAGGCTGAAGAAACAGATAATTTTGTTGATGTGAGACTCACACACGATGACAAGCTTCTCCTCATATATGTCAAAGGGATCGATGCGTTTCCCTACAATGACGATGGTGCCTTGAATACATCACAGCACGTGGAAAAGGGAGCGCTCATTTATGACATTTATACCAATGAGGTGATACGCAGATTCCCAAACTTTCTCAAGGCCAATACTGACGTCATACCTAGTCTCGTGTCAACTGAGCTCTCAATTGTGATTGATGATAAATATCAGGTGTTTGACGTTGAATTCAACCGATTTGTTAACCAAATGAAAATCAAACCTTATAACAATGTTGCCAAAATGGTAATCGATGGACGATATCTCGTTATGATCTCCTCAAATCAACAAGAGATTCACGTTGTAAGGTCACGTGATGGTTACCTGAAAACCATGTGCTATGTCCATGGTAAAGCAACTTGCATCGCTGTAGGTGCGGATGATAGAACGATTGTAGTCGGATGTGAGGATGGAAGAATAATGATAATGACACTCATCCTGGAGTTGTCAGACCCAGTGATCGAGCTAATCAGAACAATCCCGAGTCGATGCAGAGAGTTAGCTCAAAGAGAGGGCCTTGTACATGACGTGCGAACTACGCAGAATACAGCCACTGAACATCGCAAGTTATCCGCAACTATAAGGGCGGCAAGTAGAGAACAACTTTCCCGTCCCCCGAGCTATAAGAAACTTTCTGCTGGGGTCTCGATGATGCAGCGCTCTCGCCTAGTGCGATCACAAGCCTGCTCATTACAATAACAGATACAAACTGAACTCAAACTGTTAGTATTAATAAGACCACCATGGTCTTGTGGCTTAATCTGCTGATATATTTTTTATAGAAATAGTTTATAGTTAGCATTGATTTTTATGTTTGCCATTTAAAGTAAATGTAGTATAAACAAAAAAGTATTTTTATTGAAATGGTTTATAGTTAACATACATTTTAAGGTATGTGTATATGCCATTTAAAATTGTATAAAAGAATGAAAAAGTTAATTTACATCAGAGGAATAAAGTTTGTGTAAAAACTCAGATATAATTTGTTGTCTAATATTTCATGATACTTCAAGAATGTTTATAAATATAACACCACTCGGGTATTGTTCTCTGTAGATCTGACGAGTGGCTTGTTATATGATAAAACAGGTTTAAACGGCTGATTATTGGGTTTCATTTATGTCATTCAAATTTGTGTTTTTATGTTACTGCACAATCATTGTAGAATGGACCTGACGAAATTCAAAAATTTAAACTCTAAGTACATGATTGTAACTCTAGCAACTGCATGATTTTCTGCGTCAGATCGATTATTTCGACATATCAAACAATACATTTTTATATCTCTGTATCAAAATCCCAGGCGCAATAGACTGCATTGTTACTATGCCAATCATCAAAAAACAGGCTAAACATGTTACGTATGTACATGTCTAGGTTAATTACCTTCGAAAAATATTAATGATCAAACACCTTCATAGTAGCCCGGACAGAATTGTTCAAGGGTCATTTTTTTAATTTTCAGTATTATCAAAATCCTATGAACACCTATAATATAAATATTAAGTTAAGAGATTTTCTTAAAATAATTTTTTGTATGTCAATATTTTATTCTCGTTTCCAAATATGTAATTGAATTTTGATAACACTAAAAATCAAAAATGTTATTACTAAAAAAGTGACCCTTGAACAATTCTGTCCGAGCTACTATGTATTCAAATAGTTACATAGTTTCATTCATAAGAATAATGATTAATAACGTTTTTCATTTGGTTCCAAGCGATGCTTTTGATTGCTCGAGCATGAAACGTGCATTTTCAAGTTTTGTTATTAACTTCAAATTTGTTTATGATATTCAGAAATAAGGGGAAATTGGTAATGCCCCATTAAACAGTTTGATCTGCGAGGCGGCATATGTCACGATAGATGATATTTACTGATATCGAAATTAAATTACTCGATTATTTTGTAAAGAGTAGTGTACTACGTCTGATAGTTATTGAATACATAATCATAAAAGAGAAAAAGAGTTTATGGAAATACTATTAATTATAAACTGAAAACTTGGAATGATTAAAATATCGTTGCATATTCAAACAGTAGTATTACTCATGAAGATTTTGAATACTATCCCAAATACTCAATAGCTTCGATTCATCCTCAATATCAAATACACGAGGTGGAAAGATATTTGGGTATTTTATTTAAGATTCATCATACATTTATACCTATATTTTGCTTTTGAATTCATCATTGATGGTATCAAAAGCATCATTTTGTGACCAACGGATGTTACTAAAATCGCGATTATCCATTTTCAGTCCCACCATCCAAAACTTATCCGATTGGTAGAAAGATATGTACTTTTAAGTATATACTTGTTTAAGTAATATGTCTAAATCCAAAATAAGGGGCGTATATGTAAACAAAGAAGACAACAGTTTCTGGTAAAACATAACTGAATTACAATAAGGTGTAAAATAATATCCATATTTAAATTAAGCGCAAACCTTTTTTTCGTAATTAAAAACAAAAAGGCCACCCGGCTACATTTCTGATAAAATCATCAACACAGTCTATTTTTGCTTACATTTCCAAATGAATACATTGAACTACATTCTCATTGTTTCTACATTCATTCTATTACACTTGATTTGACACCAGAAATATACAAATATGTAAAACATGCAATTTGATCAGGCAGGAAATCGTTAGTTTTTATAATAAAGTAATTGACACTAGTGAATTTTAATTAATTCGTAACCCCAAATACAAACGTTTAGAGGATTATATTAAATTTAGTTATTAATTTGTGTCAATCGTATATGCATTGAAGCAAGTCATCAGTACCACACAGAGAAGAGCGATCATTTTGAAACAAGTAAGTTTTCGGTTTTCATAGAACGTTCATTTTTCTTTGAGGCTATCTTTACAGCTTAAAATTTCCATCATTTGCTCAACGGTCTAATAAGCTTCCAGGTAGTGTCTTATTACGAATAAATATATAAAACTCAGTGTGCATCACGCAGCAAAAATGATCGGTCAATTCAGTGCACTGAATTTAACTACTTGAATTTTTAAAATTGAAATATCATATAGAGGAGATTGACGCAAATTATATTTTCCCTGGACTTATAAATTATTTGACGTGACACTTGGCATATATCGGCAGTAAACAGTACACGTGTGCGACGCGAGGGCAAAAGGAATATCTCAGGGTTTTTAGGTAAGTGACATTTACCAAAAATAATTATTGTAAGAAAAATACCCTGTGTAAACAAAGAACTTGCAAACTTTGGAAAATTAAATGAAGGGAAACACAAAATGCTTTAATGTTTGCTAAACATGGACTAAGCAACTTTGCCTTCCTTAACAACTATGACTTGACAACTTGGGTATAATTGATAAAAACTTTATCATAAAGATATTCTTATTTTTCATCATGAAAACATTGAATCTGACCCAAATTTAATTTTCTATTTACATTTGATTTTAAGAAACTGTTTCTACGTTTTACAAATATTTCAAGACATTGAAATAAACTGATGTAACCATTGATATGATTAATATAGTCTGCATAGACTACTGTTGAATGTAGGCAATATCCCCACTTTAATTTGATTAGTAGTTCTTTTCAATAACTTCCAAATTTTATCAGATAACTCAATTACTTCTTACGATATTAAATTTAGGAATACAATTACCGTGTTCTTTGCTTATTTATTGAAATCATTCATTGCTTCAAACATTTTACACTTTATAGTTTGTATTTGCTACAACAATAACCTGTTTCTGCTTATTACATTCAGGAATAAAAATACCATGTGTACTTTGCTTATTATTTTGAAAACATTGCTTCAAACATTTTGCACTTTATAGTTTGTATTTGCTACAAAAGTAACTTGTTTCTGTTTATTACATCCAGGAATAAATGGACCATGTACTTTATTTATTAAACATTGCTTCGAACATTTGATTTGCACTTTGTGGTTTGTGTTTGCTACAACAATAACTTGTATTGTTTCTGTTTATTACATTCAGGAATAAAAAATACCATGTACTTTGCTTATTAAAACATTGCTTTGAACATTTGATTTGCCCTTTGTGGTTCGTGTTTGCTACAACAATAACTTGTTTCTGTTTATTACATTTAGAAATATAATGACCATTGGCTTTGCTTATTAAAACATTGCTTTGAACATTTGATTTGCCCTTTGTGGTTCGTGTTTGCTACAACAATAACTTGTTTTTGCTTATTGCATTCAGGAATAAAAAGACCATGTACTTTGCTTATTAAAACATTGCTTTGAACATTTGATTTGCCCTTTGTGGTTCGTGTTTGCTACAACAATAACTTGTTTTTGCTTATTGCATTCAGGAATAAAAAGACCATGTACTTTGCTTATTAAAACATTGCTTTGAACATTTGATTTGCACTTTGTGGTTCGTGTTTGCTATAACAATAACTTGTTTATGTTTATTACTTTTAGGGATATAAGGACCACGGGCTTTGCTTATTAAAAACATTGCTTCAAACATGTTGCACTTTGTGACTCGTGTTTGCTACAGCAATAACTTGTTTCTCTTTCTGGAGTAGTCCAATGATCAATATATTGAAATTTAATTGATATGAATTATTTGGTTCAATATTTCATTAATTAATTATCTTTATCTATGGATTTTGAATTATGTAAATTTGTTTGATCATCGGTGATTTCCATAGTGATATTAAATGATTTATTCATATGTTATTTTATTGATTACCATAACAGCAAAGTAGTAAGTCCAGAAATATTGAAATTTGATATTTTAATAAGCTATGTGCTTTTTAGCATCCAAAATTCTGATAATTATGTGAGAAAGCCTTTCCCATATTGAACTCGCTCAAGTTTAACGATGGGTACATGTATATAAGTGTTAGGATCTAATTTACCTGATATGAGAAAGAAGAGCTTAAACACAAAAATATTATTTGTGACATGTCCCTTATGTGTGTGAAATAACTGCTTTATTATCCTGACTATTGTATATTTTTGGTTAGACACCTATACGTGTACGTTTAGCTTTCTCACTTAGAAACCGTTAAATATTTATTGATTCTATTCCAGACAAAATTGTAGATTTTATTCGAGCATCTTTAACAAAAATATTCTAAAACTAAAATGATTAATCAAAAAGTTTTCGCCAAATAGACAGTTGTACCGTGAACTAGATTCCGGAAACCCTATTTTTATACCTATTTTAACCCACCCTTCCACCAGAAGCGCACATAGACACAGGTAACTAGTTTTAGACATGGGAAAATTCAGTGCATGAGCCTGCAGCTGGTGCTGGACATTTCAGAGGAGCGCAACAGTGATAATTGCATTGATTTCATTAAATGTACCACCCGTGTAGCTCAGCGGTAGCGCAGGTACCTCTTACGCAATAGGTCCCGGATTCGATCCCCGGTTCAGGCAAGACTAAATTTGCTTGTTTGCGTGAAGTACTTCAGGGTGTTTGACTGAGTGGTCCGCAACTCGTACAAAAAGGCTGTGGTGTGTACTTATATGTCTATGTATAAGTGCACATAAAAGAACACAGGGCTCCTTCAAGGAGGGGTTTCTGGGTCTATCTTCCATGTTAATTACGTAAATTACGACCGTATATATACGGGACATACCCAAGAGGTATTGCTCACCTTCATTGGTGGTAAACAAAATACAATACAATACCATGCTTTTTTTTCTTTTCAATATGTAATTTATTTATTTATATAAAGTCATGGTTGGTCGAATAGTCATTCCTTTTATACAATGGGCCCAACTCAGCTAGGAACCAAGTTTTAGACATTGCAAAAAATCAGTGACCAGACACAGGTTCCATTCGAAGAAGGTGTGGCATAAACAGTGAAGTGTTCATGAATACTCATAATCATGCAAATTAACATCTCATACCCCTTCACGTGACCTCCATTTCTTTGCACATAGAAATACATATACAGGGTGGTCCAAAAATGGGACACTCGTATTTCAAAAATTAATATTGATTTTCTTCATGAAAACATGTCATATTATATACCATTGGATAGGGAATTTACTCATCTTTAATTTGGTATATCATAAGTTCAGATTTATTATAATATGCGTCAACCAGCGTCCATAATACAAATGACGTCATTTTCGTTTCCAAACGGTTTTTTTATAACTTGCAAAAACCAAGTTTTATTGTCAACTCATACGGGTGTCACATATTTGTGGACCACCCTGTATAATATGTAAGCTCATTTCTTCATATCATGCAGAACTCTTTGAGGTATCTGTTGGTAACGGGGGGGGGGGGCAGCCGGATGGTGACTCCTTCTCGATGTGTAATATTGCGAAGGGATGGTGAACACTTTGCTCTTGGGATAGGCCTAAATTAAAAGTCTAAAGAATGCAGGTCAGGTGAATTTTCAGTAGCACCAGACTATCAGACTTTTGCAATGTCTAAAACTTGGTCAAAACCGTTTTCGGCCCTCTATGTAAAAGGAATCATAATTCAGCCAACCATGAGCCCATGTGAACAAATGACGTATTATTTAGGGAAAACGTGGGTCCATAGTAAATTAAATTGATGCAGTCATGACTGCTTTTGTGGTTTTACGTTTTATTTGTTTGTTGACTTTTTTGATATGCACTGAATTCATTGATATAGTCCAGTCTACTGAATAACAACAGCAAAATAGATACGAATAACAAGAATTAACTCAAAGACTCATAAGACTACTATGCTTATATTTGCGAATGCAACTAACGCCTGTCGGCTGTTTGATTAACCTACTATTTTATGTGCAACTCATTTACATATGACTAGTACCTGCCACTATTCCATTCATATTTGAATGCGTTTTAATTGCTCACAAAATAGTAGCTTAATCCTGAAGCCGCTAGCCGTGAGTTGCACTCGCGAATACAAGCTTAGATACGTCATATTTTAGACAGAGGGGTGTCGACGATGAAGACAATCGTTAGTTTGGTATTGGGGGTGATACTGCTGGCGTCACAGAATGAGGCTGCAAATCAGATAAGCATGAAAAGTAAGTACATGACCTGGACGCGTATCGATAGAGTTCTAATATTTTGTTATTTTGATATTCTGCCTCATGGAATTTTCGACAACGAACGTTTTTGTATATAAAATAGTTTTGAAATCTGTCGGATATACGCAGTTCACGCATTCTCATCTTTACATAATAGTTTAATATATGTTTGATTTTGCAGACTGCATGGATGTACTTATACTCGTCGATAAAAGCTGTAGCATCAACGACATAGACAAAAACCAAGTACGCCAAGGCCTCCTTGATCTCGTCGATATGTTCCCGAGTGTCGGGACTTCTGCATTCGATCGGGTTCGCATTTCTATAGTAACATTCGCAGAAGTACCCAAGGTGAAAAATTACGACGACGAGAATGATACTCTTATCCAGTTGAGCTTTAAAGACGGAAAAACAAAGAGAACGGTTAAGAATGTCATTAGAAATATGGAATTAAGGACAGATGTGAGTATGATCGATTCGATCAACAAATCAGAATGAATCAAAAATATTCAGGCATGTCTTACATTTCGTTTCTTAAATATTCTCGAATTAACTAGCTGATTTGATCTAATAAAGGATTTGATTAAGCCCATGACTTGATGAATTGTAGGATGATTTAACAACGTCAAAAGGTCTACGTCAAAACCTTTTGAAACTGTCAAAACAAACTACAAATGATTAACGGATAATGGTATATGTCAAACAAGCGCATTGCAGTGTCAAATGCATTTGCAATGTTATATCAAAATCAAAATAACTTCAACAGTCAAGTTTTATTTTAGGGAGATGGAGTAAATGAGCCATGTAAAACTAAAACGTGGAAAGCGTTTAATTACGTCTGGAATCAGGTTTTTAACAAAACGGAAGCCGAGAACGGGAATAGACCAAATGTGTCTGATGTAAGTTGCCATTTGTATCCTAATAGGTCTAATAAAGTAAGTAAAGCCCAATATTTCAAATACTACAGTTTTCAGCAATGAACAACATCATACTTTAAATGCAAGTTAATGAGAAGCCTAGTATGTTCCAAATGCAAGTTCAGGAAATGCTTAAACGTTTGAAATTTGAACGTTTGAAAGTTAATGAAAAGCCTAAAGGTTCAAACGCACGTTAATAAGTGGACCAATGTCCCAAATGCAAGTAAATGATGGACCTATAAATTAATATTTCAACATCAAATTATGAAATTTAATGTTCTCGCTTAATTAAAATAAAGCTCTATGCTTGAAACGATGAAACAATAGATTCAACTATAATTTTCTTTATGAAGTGGTGACATATTGCTATAGTGTCAAACTTTTTGTTTACTTGTTTTTATAAAGTGAATTACAATATCTAACTATAACGACACGGGATAATTTATATATGTACGAACATGGTGATGGAACTACTAAGATCAAACTAGTGTATATTAGCTGTACACTACAAAAGTGCACAATCATCTTTCGTACTTTAGGTAATTCTTATGGTTTACGATGGGATCACATATCCACACGAAGAGCAAAACAAATCCATAGCAAACGCAAGGCTACTGAAGAGCAGGGGAGTAGAAATATTTGCAGTAGCACCAATGAATTTAAATACGCAAATTCATGGCGTAAGTTCATCTTTGTTCTCATATACTTTTAAAACATAGTTTTTACCATACGACCGATACATATATTTACAATCAAAAGTAGAAAATGTTTAATACTATTTCACATCGGTTTGATGTACGTATACAAAGTTATGTTGCCTTCAGATTGACCCAGATTACGAATTAAAAGATATAGTATCTGAACCAGCTGATGATTTAGTAGGAAATAGTGTACGCCATTTGTTCAGATTAGACGAAGTTGGTAAGTGCATATGTAATACAGGGTGGGCCAAAAACGTCACTTTTTTCAAGACACTACAACTTTTTTTATTTTCCAACCTACATACCCCATATTTTGCAGTTATATAGTGTCAAGGGTTCTTAGTAATAATATAATGTAACAAGTCCTTTAACTTGGATTATATTTGATCTAAAAGGGGAGTTCAATTGGTCCGCCACCCTAATTGATGATATATTTTAGTTTAAGTTGCCTTGCTGATATTGCAGTATCAATGAAATGTTAGCTAAGTTTTTTTCAACTTGTCTTAATTGCAAGCTTTAGTTGAGCAATTTTCTATATTGGGAACCTTCATACAATCTCCTGGAGACCTTCCTATACCCTATACTCACCGGGGTTTGCATCAGGGCTATTAGCTAGCTTGGCGAGCATCAGGTCGTATCAGTTCAGGAACATTTTGCAAATTATGCTTATTTCTCATAGCATACCACATGTTTAAGTGAGACGCTGGTGACGTATTTTATTCAAGTAAAAGTGTATAATTCATGATCAATGGCTAGATAACAACCTCAAGTTTCATTTGGTATGCAAATTATGATTTAATATCAAAGATTAAAAAAGTTAAAGCATTTTGAAAAAAGTGGCGTTTTTGGCCCACCCTGTATATAGTACTATTTAAAGATATAAGTAAAATAAAACATTTTGAAAAATCTGATTTGAATCGAAATCCGTAACAAGAGCAACTGTTCATTAAATAAGGATACTTAAAGTAAGAAATATATTAATTTTTTCAATAAATGATTTTGAGAAAAAATTGATTTATATCTCAGATACGAACCTACATAAGGTGTCAAAGGTAAAGTAGATTGTTTTGTTTCAAATTAACAAAAACAGAATATAAATGGAGGTATAAATTGATACAACGTATTTATTCCATACACTGTACTAAACAACACATGTATATTATCAGGAACCATTAAACCAGCATGGCAGCTTAATTCACATTTTGCTATTTTTAGGAAAACAATAATGAAAACACATATTTTCTAGGTTATTTGGGCGCTTTGGAAGCTTCAATAAATGCCTTAGGGACACCGGAAAATGCACCGAGTGATATATTTGGAATGAGTAATTTTAATTACGTCTGCAGCGAGCCGGAGCCTCTCAGAGATTCCCACGGTATGATGCGTTCTGATCATTTCCTTGATAAAGCTTTTCGTCTAAATACTAGCAGAGTTGCAGTTTCTGGAAAGTACAACCCCAGTTATAAACGCACTCTTCAAATCCAGCTTAGCCAGAATCATGAGTTAAGTTGTAGTGATCGTTGCTTACAAAAATATACCAATGTCAGTCATGAAATTGGCAAAAATAACATTTTAAGGAAGAGTCTTAATCTTTAGTAGAATAATGGAATTTGAATATATCAATTATCTTAATAGATCCACATATTCTGATCTGAGCACGAACATACACGACATTCCTATACTGCATACGTAGAAATAAAGTACGTTGGATGGCGAATTGACATGATCATAATTCAGAGTATATGTGTGTATTATTCCAGCCGCTTGTCAAGATATCATGTTCATCATTGACACATCTTGCTCACCAAGTACCACACACGCAAGCGTCAAAGAGTTCTTGAAGACGTTTGTCACTAAACTCCAACTGATAGATCCTGTGTTCGGATCCGCTGTTGGTGTAAGTAAATCTTGATTAATATCATGTAATGATGTTACTAAATGTACTTAAACAGTGTGGACGTTTACTTTTAGATTAATTTTTACATACAGGGTGAGCCAAATAAAGGTAACTTAAACAAATGTGAATAACTCAGTCATCCAGCATGGGTTTAAAATCATATTTATAATCAAATGTGAGTTCAAATCCATGTTGGAAGAGTAAGTTATTTACATTTGATTGGGTTACCTTTATTTTGCTCACCCTGTATAAAGAAGCAGTAAAAAACAACCTGATTAATTAACAATTCTTACTAATTATTAGAAAATGTTATGATTGATAAAGGAATACACCTATTTATGTACACATGTATACATCGGTGTATAACTATTTTAGATCATCACATTTAACAAGTGGGCAACAACTAAATTAACTATGACCAGATATACTCAACCTTGGGAGGTAGATGATCTTATAAGCTTTATTGACGATGATCTTGTACTAGAGACAGTCGATGATAAATGCAGAACACTTCCATATCACGTAAGTTCTGACACATAAATATTACGCATGCGCACATGACGATGATGCGAATTACACAGAACACTTCCATATCATCTAAGTTTGACACATAAATATTACGCATGCGCATATGACGATGATGCGAATTACACAGAACTCTCCCATATCACGTAAGTTCTGACACATAAATATTACGCATGCGCATATGACAATGATGTGAATTACACAGAACACTTCCATATCACGTAAGTTCTGACACATAAATATTACGCATGCGCAAATCACGATGATGCGAATTACACAGAACACTTTCATATCACGTAAGTTCTGACACATAAATATTACGCATGCGCATTTGACGATGATGCGAATTACACAGAACACTTCCATATCACGTAAGTTCTGACACATAAATATTACACATGCGCATATGACGATGATGCGAATTACACACATGTCGATTCTTGTTTTGCATCATAGTATTTGGCTAGCACATCATTTTGATTGACTTTTTACTTAGATGAAACATGGCGAATTTCGATCCAGAAAAAACATATTTATTAGCTCATCGTTATGTAGTAAGACTGAAACGGACGAAAACTCTTTTGTAGAATAATATTATGGTACTTAATATTTAATAACATGATTGCAAAATCAACATACCTCACATCCGTACGGTATTTTTTGTTTCATTAACACAGGCACTTAACGAGTTACAAAAACATTTTGGTCCACAAAATGGCGAGGCCCTTACAGCAAGTGGTGATCGTCCAGGATTTCATAATACAGTAATATTCATTGGAGACTTGGCGACATATCCGGCAACTAAACGAGACAAGACCATTGCTGCTGCAGAAGCTGCTAAAGAACTTGCTGAACTGTTCATTCTTCAGGTTGGCCTTTTCAGATTACAGCAAATCGTCTTCATTAGATTGTTAACAATAAACAAGATTAACTGCCTTCGTTACAAAAATGACATTTGGTAAAATAATATTTATATGATCAACGGTACATCGTAAAATACATTTCTATTTTATATAAAAGTTATATTATTTCCATTAAGCGTGGGTTCAGTGTAGCCTAGTAGTGGAATTTGCAAACCTGAACTTTGGGATCTAGGCAAAGTAATCATCTTATTCATTTATAGACACCCAATGAATTCTCAGATCCCAACGAGGAGACGGTTTTAGACACTTACATAGCTTCTTCTATGGATCACATAATACAATGGGTCGACCCGGCCAATCCAGAGTTCGAAGAGATGTGCAACCGACTCGTGGAAATCGCATTAAGTCACGAGTGTCCACAAGGTACAACAATTTTTTATCAGCAATCTTCGCCTCCAAAAATGTAAAAATGAAAAAAATGTGTTAGAGCACTTGTATGTTGGCCTTGTTGTGTCATTGGACGCCTTCCATTAGACTTATCTCAATACTGAGATTTAGAATTGTAAGAAAGATGAAAACATAACAAACATACAAGATATGGATTTTTCAATTTAATACAGCACTATCTTACTAGTAAGCTCTTCCCATCAGCTCATTTTCCAAACAGATTCACAGATAAGTGTTGAAAATAAATCCATGTAATTTCAATAGTGATTGGCCTGTTCAACTACCTGTACTTGATCTGATTTTAGCAAATGGCGGTCAGTAGATGGTTAGGGGAATGCGCGTTGTCACCATGACGACATGCAAACAAATGAGGATAGCATTGATATGGACTGGAACTAAACACGGAGCTGATTTGGGACTATAGTCAAATTAGATGTATACTGGATTCATACTAAAATATAATCTATAGAATGATGCAGAATGAAGAATATGTTATATCTATATTGTAGCTTATAATAGCATATGTTTAGCGCAACGAGGAGGCATAATATGTTTTTAGTTTTTATGCACAATGGTTGAATTGGAAGTCCAACAAGTAGTTCCAAGGAGGATTGGCTCCCAGGGTTCCAACTCGATATTTTGATATCCAAGTATAGTACTGTTATATATATACTGATCGGTCTGCATATTTCTACGGCTGCAATGAGAATGGCCGAAATTCCGATCGGGAGCAAAAGTGACGACCTTGACCTCGAGCGATGACGACGATGAAAATGTCGTTGGGTTTGACACTATACGAGGGGTGATCCAAAAGTCTTGGACGCCCTGCTCTAATTTTGTTGGTTTTTGATAAAATTACTTTAAACTTTCCAATAATAAAGACCAACAACCTTACTTCTTTGTGTATTAATTTCATGGAGAAATGATATGTTTTATGTAGTTTTCTAGACAGTTTTTAATATGGGGACCCTGCCACCCGGAACGGTATTCACACATGACAACTTTCAGCCTTAAATGTTGCCGCCATTTGACTTGTTTCGCAAGAATTCTTTGAATTTTGAATGTTAAACCATGTTAGTTTACTTCCTTTCTTACTAGGCAACCAATTAATTGTGTTTTAATTATAATGTCACATATGACAATGATCATATATGTCAAATTCTAAGAAAATGACATCAGACAAGCAACCCTCATTCTGGTATCATTTCTGTTCCAAAATGGCTGCTGAAATGCAGAACATGAAAGAAATCAAAGTGAAACAAAGAATACTACAAGATATTTTCACTAGTATTGACCTTTAGGAGCTACCATATGCACAATACAGCCTAGATATGGCTCCGTGTGATTTTCTTCCTTTTCACGAAGTTGAAAGGAGGGTTGAAAGAAATTGTTTTTTTACTCATTGGATGAGGTTTTGAGTGGCACAGCAGCATTTGTATCACATAAGGAATGGCGGTTTCATAAATGTCTTCCATTCATTGGTAAAGCGGTATGAAAGATGGGTTCAAATTCGTGGAAAATATGTTGAAAAGTGGGTCTTAATATGTGAAGATGATGATGGCAGATGACACTCAGATTGAAAATCGGAAATTCTCTCATATAATGATTGGTGTTACGTTGTGCACCCGCACCTAAAGTATTTGCCATATTATAACAGTTGTGACGTGATTTGCTATAATATTTAAATACCGTTCTGGGTGGCAGGGACCCAGTGTTAAAAAATCTTTACCAAAAACCTAAAATATATCATTTTCTGTTGAAACTTGTACACAGAGCTGTTAAGATGTTGATCTTTATTATCTGAAAGTTTGGTGCAATTATATTAGAAAATAGCAAAGTTATAGCGGGATGTCCAAGACCTTTGGATCACCCCTCGTAACTATGAATTAATAATCACCAATCCGAAAGAGAAAACTATTATCTTGATCACTTCTTGTGTGCTTTGAATTTTTCCGTTCGAAAATAAGATCAAAATTCGCGATTCGTATTCTGAAATGAAAAAAATGGTGGCTGTTTAATTTTTAATTCTCTGTTCGACATGAATTTTTTTTTTATTAATCATCTTTATTATATTCCAAAAATACAGGTGTATAAAACTTAAACAATTGCCAAAGTCTAGTGACATTGACGGCAATTTTGAGTGAAATCCAATGGAATGTTATTAAATTTTTACATAATAAGTTATTTTTATGTCATGTTATTGTTAAAATCGATGAAAGAGAAAAAAGTCAATAAAATATCATCACACTACACTCGTATATCACAAAGATGTGTAAGGTTTTTTCCCTTGGCCAGAGGGATTTCAGTTGTAACATGTTTTAATCGATTACATGTTCAAAAGATCTAGATCCTGGTGGATATAATATGCTACTATGTTCATTAGTTTCTCATTGACATCTACTGGAAATTTATTATCTCCAAAAAGTAAGAACTGGGATTGATCATGCATATTACGTCCATCATATTTGGCACGGATCCCTATCGTCTCCAGTCCTGCAAGTAGTGTTGTTGTTACGACATGACTGATATACGGCAGATATACCAGGTGGAACCCCGGGAGCCGATTGTTTATTGAAGTATTACTGAGAACTCAAATAACATACTAAAACAATAAATGCCGTATCCGCAAATAAAAAAAACAAATCACATCATTAGGATAATTACAAAGCTTTTATACTTAAATGACATAGTCGTAATTACAAAAACAATCGAATGACCTTCATTTAATTTTTATTATCGGCGGAATATACTAACCGATTGAGGTTTAGCATATCTGAGATAAACTTGTATTCGTAAATGCAACTTTTTATTTTCACAAGGAAAATACAAATTAATTGAAAGGCCCTTGATACAATTTGCATTGTAGTGGGTGGCCGAGGTTCTTAAAAGTATCATTGTATGAAACCATTGATCCAATCAGTATAGTGCGCCACATTGACGTACACCCCAGAATAGGTTCCACATGCTTGATCACCATATACACTAGGTTCGGGACCCCAACTGACTATACCATACTGGAACCATTTCTTCTTAAACCTACACACGTATGGGCCACCGGAATCACCGCTACATGCATCCCTGAAATTTAAGGACATGCTACAAAACACGGTCCCTTGTTTTGGATAAGATGGGCCATTTTAAAAATGCTCTATTTCTTTACCAATCGACAAACCGACCAAAGTCAGCCAGGGGAACCCAAAATTTCAAAGATGATACACGCTTATATCAAGGGAAAAATCAATATCGGGTGATTTCAGCGGGAAGTGGCGTTTCGTTCAGTGGATGAGCTGCGCGCGCACGCATAAATGTGATTATCCAATATTATTTAGGGGAGGGCTATTTGAAATAGTTTTTGGTCTCAGGCGCGACCCAGGGCTGTTGTCTTAAGGACATTTCGTCGAAAATGAGCCATTCAGCTGATAATTGGTAAGAGTTTGCGATCTTATAATGTACAGGGTGTCAAATGGCGTTGTGCCCCCTATCCCCAGCATAAACTAGAAGAGGTACACATGCATACTATATACCATTGGAAAGGGCATTTAATTGTTCTTAGAGTGTATAAAGATGAAGATGGATGATAGAAAATAATACATAATTTGAACCAAGTTTTAAAAGAGAGTTTGACCATCCCCCGCAGCTTTAAACGGCTGCCAGTCAGGCTGGATATCAAGTTAAAAGGGCATTGAAAAGAGCAATGTCTTGAGCAGAAACTGTTACTCAGACACATATCTTGACACGATTCTGTTGGAAATAAGCTTTGAACCGGGAGATATTCACGATTGATATGCACATTTTTGATTGTGCCATTGCTTTTCAATTGCACAATCCATGTATTGATAGAAGTAACATTGATAATGCAGATTGTTTTACCTTCAATACATGGCAGACACTACATATCGGTCTATTAAATACCAGTTTGTGCCTTAAATAGTTTTATATTTCCATCCACGGCCTGGAGCCTGGGCGTGTTTGTCTCTTATGCTTGTGAATTGGTGGGGCTGGTAGGGCACCAATCCCCTGGCCCCGTCCATTCTTTATTCTACTTCCCACTTACTCGAGTCTCTATAGCCTATTACCGGAATTTCCAGTGGACTTGGAAGAAGATAACTGTCCCACCAGGTACCTCTGGGGGTCAAGATTGGATTAGACATTTGAAGTAAGACTGGTCTATGACTGTGGCACGAACCCCCAACCCCCGGGCCCCAACCTAGCATACCTCCGGGCATACCTCACGAATCAGCAAGGGGGTAAAGGTCGGGGGTAAAGTAAGTATCATGAGGGGGGGGGGGCGTTGCAGAATTTAACATGATGCAAACTCGACATTATTTATAACTCATGTTGTAACATTTTGACTTCGCTGGAAAACAATAGGAATTATTTTTCTTGCCAATCAATCATGAATCACAATCAAAATTTCAGAATGATCAATCAGGCAATGGTCCAAATCAAGTTATAACATTACATGATATTCAGCAAGAAGTCCGGTAGAAATATAGAGTATTTAAACATCAAAGCTGAAAGTTAAAAGCTAATATTTCTAACTGCAAAGGAGCGTTTACATTTGACACACAATAACAGACTGAGGCTTTGAAATCTAGGATTCCCCAGGAAAATATGACGTCATACTAATTAGCATAAGGATTTCCCTATTGGTCTGGGTCGAGCCTTGTTCGAAAACACAATCCATAAATACATGCTAATTTCTAAGGAGATAGGAAGTGTATAACGTGTTTATCGATTTTGTTTAAAGATTTAATCAATTATCAAATTGTTTAAGTGGATAAAGTGGTCACACTTGCTTCAATTCATAGCGTAATCGACGGATAGAAACTGACCGAATTCCCGATATCCTACCCCGTATATACTCCCGGGTATATACTGTAGGCTATGAAGCACAGTGACCTACAGAGGGCGCTATCACAAACAAGTACTGCACGAACCGATAAATTCCCGGGTATTGTAACGCCCTTGCTTATATTGTAAACCATATTGAGATGACATACATTAATATTATTGGTCAAAAAACGAAGTCACGTCATGGCCGCTTTTAAGTTTTCTAAATACGCTTCGAATAATAGTATCTTCATTTCTGGTGTGTTAACCAATAGCATAGCATCTTATTTCACATCAAGATAAAGAAAGGTGTACGTCATATGCCTACATCAATTAAAACATCACATCGAAGTGAAGTATTTGGACACTAGCCGGTGTAAATTCAAACAAACGAAGGTGATTATGAAGCAAGAGACGTAATTAACCCAAACTGAAATATTTTCAACCATTAGACTTGATGTAGAATTTGTTGTAAAGGGTGAAGATAGATATGTGTCAAAATCATATTCGTAATAGTTACTCCTGGCTCTGACGGGTTTTGTGTAGAATTCTACAAGTTTTTCTTCAAAGATATAGGTTCTTTTCTACTTAAATCACTAAATACATCCTATGACCTAGGACACCTGTCGATTACTCAAAAACAAGGCGTTATAACTTGCTTACCTAAGCCTAATAAGATGAGAAAATATTTTTAAAACTGGAGGCCAATATCACTTCTTAATGCAGACTATAAGCTTCTTTCATATGCACTAGCATCTAGAATGAAAAGGGTCCTTCCAAGTGTTATCTCGATTGAACAAAAATCTTTTCTTCCGGATCGTGAAATGGCTGAAAATACGAGACTTTTGTATGATCTTATAGACTATCTAATACTAGAAAAATGTCCGGCCTACTTTTGTTGGCGGACTTCGAAAAAGCTTTTGACAGTATTGAATGGGAATATCTGGAAAAATGCCTGAAAAAATTCAATTTTGGAGATAGTTTTATTAAATGGTTCAGGGTTCTATATAACGGAGCAGAAAGCACAGTTGTAAATAACGGGCACTTTTCAAGATTTTTTCAAATAAAACGTGGATGTCGTCAGGGAGATAGTTTGTCTTGCTACATGTTCATTCTTGCCTTAGAACCACTCTGTAACAAATTGAAATACGCCAGAGATATTCAAGGTTTGAAAATGTTTGACAAAAATATTAAAGTCGGTATGTACGCTGATGATACATTCGTGGTTCTCGATGGTTCAGAAAAATCCTTGGAAAGCTGCTTGCAAATTTTTAATTTATTCTATGAGGCATCTGGTCTAAAGCTTAATGTTGAAAAGACTTCCGTAATATGGTTAGGAACAAAATGTAATTCGGACGAAAGATTATTGAAAAACATTCCTCTGAATTGGGAAACCACTTTTAAATTACTCGGCATTCACTTTAATAATGACCTTAAGAACATTGAACGAGACAATCTTGTGACTAAATTTATAGAAATGCAAACAGTGATAAATCGCTATAAGAGAAGAAATTTGTCCCTGATAGGAAAAATAACGGTAATAAAGTCGTTTGCTCTGCCAAAAATAGTACATATAATGAAAATTCTGCCAAAAATTTCAATTGAATATCATAAACGATTAAAACATCTATTTACTACATACCTGTGGAATTCTAATGTGTCAAAGGTGAATTTTCATCAAGTTTGTCAAGACTACAAAGATGGTGGTCTAAGAATGATCGATCCCCAAACCTTCGAGCAATCTCAGAAATTAACCTGGCTTCAGAAATTGATCAGACATGGCACATGGCAATTCGCAGCGCAAGGTATAATCGGTATAGAAGATGCGACAGAACTGTTTGCATATGATGTAAAATCACTTCAAAAATTAGAGGCTAAAATTGAAAATACTTTTTGGAAAGGGATAATCAATATATTTCGCGCATACACATCTATTAAAGAAGCCGAAATTGAATGCAATATAGAATCATATGCTGAAAATATAATCTGCAACACATGGTTAAGATATAGCAAAAATGAGAATGTGAACAAAATCATAAAAAATACAAAGCAGAAAGGCTTAATCATTCTAAAAGACATGTATCACGAATCGAAAAGAATTTTGAGACTAAATGAATTTATGGACCGTTTTAACACAAAAATAAACTTTTTGGATTTTTTAAGTTTGAAAAACACAATTCCTGAAAAATGGAAAAAAATAATATCTGAAAACAATAAACCACCTGAATACTATTCTGAATATAAAAAACATGTGTTGAAATTCATGGAAAAGAAAAAAATTGGTAAAATAATTTATTGGGAATTAATTAAAAACCTTGATTACAACGATAACTATGTGAATAAATGGAACGGTGATTTGGACATTAATATTGAAGATCACGAATGGAAAAACATTAATAAAATTAATAGAATAAGTAACTATGAACCTAAATTAGCATCTTTCAATTATAAAGTAATACACAGATTTCTACCAACAAATAAATACTTAAAGATGTGTGGTATTAAGGAATACGATAAATGCTGTTTTTGCAGTAGACACATAGAGACCCTGGTGCACCTGTTTTTAACGTGCGAGGTTGTTGAAATGGTAATTCAAGATATCAAAAAGTGGCTTCCTAAAAAGCTTTCTGATTTATGTGACAAAACTGCAATCACTTTAGGACCAGTAATTATAAATAGTGAAACAATATTGATAAATACAATTTTATCCATATACAGGAGATATATATATATTATGTAAATGTCTAAAGGTGCGTCCAACCTTTCTGGGACTGAAGAGAAACATAGAAGAATATTATTTAATAGATGTAAAAGTAGGAAGGGGGGATAAATGGGAGGATATTGAACATATATTGTAATTACATGTACTACAAGTTTATACTGCTTCATGCTTTCCATGTTGTATACTTTTCATATTATTGTAATGCTTAATGTTTAGGGAAACGTCAAACACGTCTGTGTTAGGCTTTGCTTGCAGAGTTCAATTTTTAGAAGCAGATGTATGTGTGATACCCTCTTACCCACCGACATTATTGTAAAATGAGTAAACTTAAATATGTATTGAATGTACTGCTTGAACTGAAATAAAAATTCATTAAAAAAAAAAGATATGTGTCAAAATCATATTCGCAATAGTTACTGAATCTAATGAATGTACCTATTTTCTTGTGACAGTTATATAAGCATAATTTGACTACATTATAGAAGAACGGAACATACCTCCCTGGCTTGTGCGCACAAAACATTGTCGTCGTATTGACTCGTTTATCAAGATCATCTGGAAGTTTACACCTTTGTTTCTTAATTCGTATCTCAATTAAGACGCTGGAAAATGCAGCGTATTCGGTTTTTCCCCATCCGGTGGCCCGACAAAGCTTGCCATCTATGTGACTTATATCCCGAGTGGAAAGTGCAATTGCCATTGTCCATTTATTAAACGATAGGGGATCATCTAATACTAGGATTGCAATGTCATTGTTGAGGGTTTGGCTATCGTATTCTGGATGTACGATTATGTTGGATCCGATTATTGTTCGTAATTGCTCTTTGTGGGACTCGTCTTCAAAGAGGTCACGCCTCCCAGTGTGAAGAGTCAAGTTGTTAAATTTAGTCACCGTGCCTATGTAAAATGTTACGCAATGAGCGGCTGTCAATATATGTCTGCGACTTATAATCGACCCACCACAATGAGCAACTTTTGTATCTTTCAAAGAAATTTCTGTTGGATGAATATAGACCATCCATCCTCCTTTGTTGCGACCTCGTGTCGGAAATTCAGGCTTCGGCCTTCCACCCACCCCACCTATAGACAAAAAAACAAACAAATACGGTTGGATGAAGTATGAACAAGAAACAAAACGTATGTATATATTATCATATTTCATATTTTTTAGCGATTTTCATCTAGTGTACTACAAAATAATCGTGAGGGATTACGTCAATCCCATTCGTTCAGGTCGCACCATGTCGGTTTTCACACGTATTTCAAAATGGTTCAAAATTACAAGTCACGAGCACGTTCATTAAGTGCGAAAATTGACCGTAGATTGGTGCAGCTACTTTCATTCCCTTCACGCACATTTTAAAACCAGTTCATCAACGTTTTAAAGAACGCGGTGACAACTGGTTTGGTGTGATAGCTATTTTTGCTAACTCGTTCATAAACAGTTTTTAATGCGTCTCTCTTGTCTTTGTTCCGTCTGCAAAACGTTGCTATCATGTTTAGATTGGGTAAAATTGCTCGTTCATCTCATCTACAAATTGCATCCGAGCAATTCAATTACGTCCTTAATCAGTCCAAACCCGATGGCAATTTCTACCTCGTTCTAAATATGCTCCAATATTTTATTGAAGTTCATCCCGTTCTAAAAATGTGAACATCGCGTCCCTAACCCGTGCAGAACGTATTTGTGGTACCGTATTTATATTCCCTTAAACCACAAAGATAACACAATAAAAAAGAATTGTGTTATTCTATTTTTATGAATAGCCAGCTATAACAAAGAGGAGTGTATTTCTAATGTTTCTAACCCCCCTATCACACCAAACTAGTTCTTACCCGTTCTTGCAAGTCCTACGAAAACGTCGTAAAACGGGCTCAATCTTGATGTGGACGGGAAATATGTCTAAAATAATTAGCTACTTCGTTCATAAACAGTCTTAGATACGTCCATCTCATTTGCAGTTCGTTCAGGTCGCACCACGTCGGTGTGCAACGTCGAATAACGCGCGTCCCTTAGTCTAGAAGGTCATCATGACTTGATTACAGAACGGTATGGTCGCCATCGAATATTGAATCATTTCAAAATTCTAAAATCACCTCCCCGTCTGAGAAAGTTCATGAAGTTCGTAAATGGACCTTAGAAAGTTGCAGCTACGTTCATTCCGTTCGCACCCAGTTTAAACCAAGAAGTGAAGAACGCAGTGGCAACTTGTTTGGTGTGATAGCTATATTTTTGCCAACTCGTTCATAAGCAGTCTTTAATACGTTTTTGGTCAGTTTAAACCCGTTTGCAATTAGTTCTACCTCGTTCTCAATACGTCCTCAGACAGTTCAACTCGTTGTAAAAACGTCCCTAGTAGGATTGAAGTACGACGGTTCCGTTCGTAGTACATCCAGCTCGTCGTTAGTACGTTGTCACTTGTTCTAATTATAGAACGTGACAACCACGAGAACATTTGGAGCATGTTCTAAGTTCTAGAGGACCTACCCGTCCGAGTACGTTCAATGAAGTTTGTAAATAGACCCCAAACAGTTCTAAGTACGTCCAGTTCGTTCGCACACAGTTGAAGCCCGTTTTCGAGAACGTAGTGAGAACTAGTTTGGTGTGATAGTAGGGTTTAGAATGTATACACTTGGGATTAGCTACCCAAAACCAATATACAGGTAGCACAAATGACGAATGACTGTCAAATTCAGTGCACTAAAAGCTGACCTAATAATACCCTATTCACTCTTTCAACAGTTGAATAGTAACACCCCAGTCACATTTCCTACGGCGACCTTGCGGTCTATCATTTCTGCGGCCAGTAACATTTCTACGCTCGCCGTGGAATTTCTGCGCTCTCATACTTTTGCAGTCACATTTCCCACGGCAGCCGCACGATGAATTTTAAATTTCTGTTGATAAATAATATTTTATTCATTTTATTTACATCGGGACAATTTATAAATGTTATTCATAGTGCTAGGATGTAATATCAAATGAAAAGTGATCGTGGAACATTGACAAATAATGATTCAGTCTTGTTGAGCCAGTTGATTGGGGTAACCCAGTCACATTTGTCGCACGGCGGCCGCAAGTCGACCGCAGATCAATTAAATCGGTGAATTTCTGCGGCGAGCGTAGAAAAACTACGCTCGCCTTGCGGCCTCCGTACGGCGTATGCAGATTTTTACAGGCCGCAGGGAAGGCGTAGAAATCATAACTCGGAGTTATAATATTTGTTCATTTCTGAGGTTCCCGTAGAAATCAACTGGCTCAACAAGATTGAATCATTATTTGTCAATGTTTCACGATCACTTTTCATTTGATATTACATCCTAGCACTATGAATAACATTTATAAATTGTCTTGATGTAAATAAAATGAAAAAAGTATTATTTACTGACAGAAAGGAGGAGGGAAGTTAGCGCAACAGATTTTGGACAGTCATATGTTGGATTTTGGCCATTTTCTGAGGATTTAAACAAGTGCATATGTTAGGCCAATGTATTACCTCCAGGAAAATCACTTCTAGAGATGATACAATAATTTCGACTTTGAGACAGGGTAGATGCAAACAACCAACCAACATGTTTTTCTGAAATGTTTTCCTAATTTTTGACCCCTTCCATCCCTGCTTTTTTAATTTTTCTTGCATCAATATGTTGCATTTTGACACATAATTAACCACTTTAAAGGAATAAGTGATTCCTTCAGGGGTTTTAAAGATACCCATTATGGGTGACCAAACTTAGCTGAAAGCAATGATTTTTCCTATGGGAAAATAACATGGGAAATATTGTTTTCAACTTTATCTAAAAGGAATCATTTATTCCTTTTAAGAGATTAAATGTGTGTCAAAATGCAACATATTGATACAAGAAAAATTAAGAAAACAAGGATGGAAGGGGTTGAAAATCAGGAAAACATTTCAGAAAAAAAACATGTGGGTGGGTTGTTTGTATCTACCCTGTCTCAAAATCGAAATTATTTTATCATCTCTAGAAATGATTTTCCTGGAGGTAATGCATTCGCCTAACATATGCACCTGTTTAAATCCCCAGGAAATGGCCAAAATCAAACATATGACTGCTCAAAATCTGTTGCGCTAACTTCCCTCCTCCTTTAAAATTCACCGTGCGGCTGCCGTGGGAAATGTGACTGCAAAAGTATGAGAGCGCAGAAATTCCACGGCGAGCGTAGAAATGTTACTGGCCGAAGAAATGATAGGCCGCACGGCGGCCGCAGGAAATGTAACGCGGTGTAAGAACTGGATGTTAGTATTTTGAAACCAATCATACTTGATCTGTACTGTTTTCGGCATGACAGAACAAAACACAGTAAAACAGAACTTGATGTAACATGGTGACACTTAACACTACAGGCCAAAGTACACTTGAACACTTTCGAACGTGGTACGAATGGACACAGCACACTAAAACTCAACACAAAACAATAAAAAAGGCAAACTAAGGGCAACTGAACACACCATAACACAAGAAAGTTCAACGATACAAAACTCTAAGTACAGCTGACACTAAAATAATGTCATAAAAAGGCATCATATGCACTAGAATATTCATGAAATAAAAATATTTTAAACGTATTGAGAACATACTAACGGACCAATCACTAAACGGAAAAATAGGGTAACAGACGTTAAACCTTATCAATAAGTCTATTGACGTTGCTGCATTTCGATACTGGGTGAGGATTGAGTAGCACCGTTAAGCCTTTTTGAAATCTGTTTATTATTGGTGATGGTCTTGTTAAGGTGGCTGTTACTACCTCTCTGAAAATTCCGAATTTCTAGCCTCAAGCATAAATAATATGGGATGTATTGCTATAAAAAAGCTAGTTTGTGCAATGGTTGTTGGTTCTTGTCCCGTGACTGACCACTTTTTGTTGCTTTACTGTATTTGAACGCACTCACCAAGTCTTTCAATAAGTTCGCGGAAATGCTCTCATTTCAAAGGTTTTTAATATCGTTTCATAAAAGGTCCATGTGCAGTATGGCAAGTAATTTTAGACGGTCATATCTTTCACCATTGATACTTTCTGGCCATAAATACAATGTGCTTTCTTTCAAGTGGAGTTCCTATTATAGTAATATATCAATCCAACTCTCATGGATTAGGATCCCACATTAACAATTTTTTCAAAATGTTAGGCTCATTTTCTAAAATAAGGATCCTGTTTTTCCTCAATAACGCAAATGCGAGTAGGTAGTTACCAGTTTCACCAACAGGTGGCTCGCTCGGATCAGATGGCATGGGGGGTATAGTAGAAAGTTCCCTTCAACTTAAATTACATCTGTTTTCATATAGCCCTTATGTAGCGAATAGTTATGCAAATTTAAGTATGTCCAGTAAAAGAAAATGTTATATGTCCAATACAAGAAAAGATATTTCACTTTTTGTGATTTTGTAATATGGGGTCTATGGGGAATCAACCCGAACTAGAAGTGACATTTTCAAAGTAGATTAAACTTTCAAAGTTGATAAACAATTTTCGAAACCATATTTTTAGATGTATTTTTACATGTAGATTTCAAATATGACATCACTTTGACTGAATTTTGAATATAACAGGATCTTAAGAGGTTCTGGACAAATCATTTGATTCTGGACTTGTCATATTTTTTTTCAACGAAATCACATCCAAGGGTTGAATTTTTATTAGCTATTTAGAGAGTGAGTCCTGCCTAGTATTAATTTCAATAAAAAAGTTAAAATAGAACCCTATTTGAGAGTCAATCTAATACTTACATTACATTGATAAATTAAGGCAAATCCTGAAATATTTTTAAAGTGCATTTTTTTATGAAATATTATCCAGCAAGTATTTAAATGAAACGGTCTTATTTAAATACAAATCATAACATGATGATATTTTTCATGAAACATTTTTCAATGAAATTCAATTGAAGGGTCAAGATAAAACGAGCTAATTTAGGTGAAAACCCTTACATGATGATGTGTTTTCATAACTTCTTTCATAAAATTCCATCAAGGGGTGAAGATAAAATGATCGAATTTAAGTGATTTAAGGATCACGAGAATATGTTTTCTTTGATATTTTCTATGAAATCCCATCCAATGGTCAAGGTAAAATTTTGATTTTGATTTTGATTTGGTCACGTGTTCGAAAGATCCATATAAGGCCCATAGAACCATATAGGAACGTCATTTTGAATGTCATGTGATAGATCCATATAAGGCTTTTAGAACCATTTATGGAAATATGAGGGGAAGCCCCTGACACCTGTCTCACGATTTTTATGCACTTCATTATTGTACCGAAGTTTGCCGATTCGATTCGTCGTATTTCGGAATCCTGGTGACAATTTTATACTCCATTGGAGTATTTTTGACCTACTTCTTATGACGGAAATCCCCGAACCTTGTTCGGATTAATCCGGATTTTCTGACCTACTTTATCTACCGAGATTTCACGAGTTAACATTCGTCTCATTCCGGAATCCTGGTGACAATTTTATACTCCATTGGAGTATTTTTGATCTACTTTTTCTGGATTTTGCCCTACTTATTATATCTTGACAACAAGCAAATCAAAAAGTTCGACATGAACGGGTCTCGATCAACTAACCTAGACAATGGAAGCCAGGCACGCTAACCATGAGGCCAACGAGCTATCGATATGAAAGAACAAAAGTATTATATATTTATACCGAGCGCCAATTCAAAATGATCCTCACTTTTGTCTCCACTTAAATACGTTATACTTAAATAAGTTGTATCCAGAATAGTAGAACGCCTATGGCGCTAGTGAATAACCAAGTCCCAGGTGAGTGGTTCGTATCCCTCCGTGATATACTATTTTTGTTTTATTAAATACGACAGAAAGGAGCAAGGTGTAGGTTGAAAACAAGACGTTAGTTTGTTTCAAAACAGTTTGGAAACATTAATCTCTGATAATTTAAGGTTTTCCACTCCTGAAGGGCCTCTAGATCTATGAAATTCAATAATCCACTCAGTAAAAATAAGATTTCTCTGCAACCTGGTGTCCAATCAAGATCATTCAAATATATATGTGTTCCTGACACTTTTGGGCGTCCGGGAATATTATTGCTTGTGAAAACTATTTACAAAAGTGTTCCAGAGACCCTTATCTACTTGGCTAAGGTTTTATTTGAAGATACATTGCCTTATTAAGCAGGTAGAGGGGCATACAGAACACAGAAGCAAATGCTATGTTGAAAATTTTCTATATTTCAATTTGAACCTGTGTTTACATGTCACGTAGGCCAGTGTTTTATATGGGGATTATATGTACTTTCCTTGTATACATGAACGTAAATCATTACATGAAATCTGCATTCTTCTGGGTTTAAGGTACAGCTGGAAAGTAACATTTTGGTAAAAAATTGCTATACCTGCACATGTTATTTTCTGGTACAAAATAAAGTATGAAGCCATGTGTCAATTTCCTTGCTTTTTTCAGGAAAGTATCATTACATTGTCTTCTTTTAAAATATCTGGTAGGCGTTCAATGGGAACTCCAGGAAATTCTGATATTTCACACTTTCTATTTTTCCAAATTTTCTTTCAAAGTTTCCAGACAACACAGGAGCTACCATTGACCTGTTTCCAGATATTCTAAAAGAAGATAGTGTAATGATACTTTCCTGAAAAAAGCAAGGAAATACACATATGCCTTCATACTTAATTTTGTACCAGAAAATAACATGTGCAGCTATAGCAATTTTTTACCAAAATGTTACTTTCCAGTTGAACCTTAATCTGGGTTTGTATTGTCTTATTGGGGCTTTTCGACTTTAAAACAAACCCTACCTAAATGGATTGTGTCTCGGGAACGGTTTTGTAAATAGTTATTATAAACAATTCTGAAAGAATATCACATATTTTTGTCTTCCCGACTTCAGTCATGAATTACGTCAATTTCTCGTGCAAACATTGGGTAGACGTTGTCATAACCGGATGCCCGCGAACGTGTCAGGAACATATAGATACTCGAATGATGTTGATTGAACATCAGGGTGCAGAGAAATCGTAATTTTACTGAGTGGCTTCACGAAAAAATAAGCAGCACTTTAGGCCACCTAAATACAACTCGTCAGTTGTATCCAGTTGGAATCCCAGCGTAATGTTTTTAATTATATGGTTGTGCTTTGATTTTACGCTGAAAACATTTATAACTACGTCAACTTTATATTAAAACATTTATTATCTTTTCAGTTGTATTAAAATGTAAAATATGATATATGTCAGCTTATTGCTTTCTGGAGAACAATCAAGGTTTAAATTTGGTACAATGAATCGGACACTCATGTAAATCGACATGGTTATAACATTGAACTCAATGCAGTAAATTAGTTATTTCTATGAATCACAGCGGGATTGGTTTCATTTTATATGATTGCCAACTCTGGCGTTTTTTTTGTAAATGCTTTTGACCGCTGTAAATGTGAAACTGATACAGTATTATTCAATTGTTTTATGTCTTGGTCACATTTGCTCCGATTTTCACTACGGCGCTCGGCCGATTGAGTATTGTGTTCAGAAATGTATTCAATTTTGAACAAAATACTCGCAGCAAATGTGATCCAGGCATTACGCAGCGGTATTTCGAACATACTATTGTTGCTTAACCACGACCTAGCCAATTTTAAAATCATACTCCTTATTTAAATCCAAGTAAACGATCAATTTCTAGGTATTTGGCGTTTGATGATACTATGGCCCTTGGCGAATTATGATTAGATGAACCGAGGTCAACATTAATGTTTCTTGTACAAGGTCATCCCAAGGTCAAAGATAAATATTTAGGTATTTTACGTTTCAAGACCTTTGGACAAATTCGATTCAACGATGTATTAAAGTTAAAATGTATACAGAGATAAAATAGGTTATCTCCTATCGTTTCCTTGTGTATACGTTTATGTCTCTGCGTAATAACGCAGATGCGAGCAGGTAGTTACCAATCTCACCAGAAGGTGCTCGTTCGGGTCAGATAGCATGGCGGGTATGGTAGAAAGTTCCCTTTAACTTAAAGTACATCTGTTTTCGTGGTTCAATTTTCATATCACCCTTAAATGTATCTAATAGCAATGCAAATTAAAATATGCCCAGTGAACGAAAATGCAATACAAGAATAGATATTTCACTTTTTGTGATTTTGTAACAATGGGGTTATTTTTTGTATATGTAACATGGTCATTTTCACATTTTATATTATTACTGTTCATATTAATCAATCCCTATTCATCTCAATATAACAGGTCCCTAAGTAGGTTGTTTGCAGTTTTACTCTTTTAATACCATGTTCACTTTTCACCTTTTATTGAAACCAGTTATTCAACTATGCAAACTGTGTCAGTTTTATATATCTATTGTTCCCCTATATGGTCTTTCTCACTCACATGTAGCTGAGTTTGCATTGGGTGTTGGCTTGTCAGTAGTTGTTGTAAGAGTTCATGTTGTACATTACAGAGCATTGTATTTTAAACATTGAAGTTTGAAATGTACTATTTTATATATATTTTAATTTGAAGTTCGAGTTATTTTATTGCCACCCACGGGCCTTCCACACGCCCATTTACATATAACGCTTTGAAACAACTTTAAAAAGTGAGCAATGTCAGTGTTGTGATAATAGAGAATTTTCGTTATAAGTTGTTTCAAAAACGTATACGTATACTTATAGTTTAAAGGGTCTTGTCGAACTAAAATCAATTCAAATTGATTTTCATAATCTGTACCAAGTGGGGCATAACTATTCCCGATATAGTCAAGCTCCATCATCAACTAGGGACTGTGAATACAATGTCCTTTGCTAGTGTCAATTATGAACACGATAAACTAAATGCTAGTTGACGGGTCCTTGTAGTGTACGATAAACAAGACCCTTTAAAGTGAATCACTACACGAACGAGTCGATCATTTCAAAGTTCTCATGAAATTATAAGGTCAATTTTTAAGTTTTTACGTATAAAAGGGCCTTTATACGCAGATTATAAACTTACAGAGTTGGATCTCCGCATAGTATATGTGTGGACCTACTGACCAGAATGGCTTATTAAAATTAATCGGCTGAATAGGCATAGTATCCAATCAAATAGCTCGACTCATTCATTAGCTGAACTAATTCTCCCTTCGTTATTTCTACAAGGTGATTCAAAACGATCATCTACAAAAAATATATTTGAGAGTAGATAAATCTGTAAAACCCGTGTGCTATATCAGCCTATTTGATTCTAGAAAACACATATGACACAACTAAACATGCTTTACATCAAGGGGGTACGGATGGTATGCCATTGGCCCTTTTTATTACCGTCCTAGGAGATATTTCCCGACGAATTAGGAAATTATGAAACACCTTGTTTATTGGGTTTATAAGTATAAGTATACGTATAAGTAAAAAACTTATAACGAAAATTCTCTAATAACGCCCCTCATACCTATTTATTACAGGTCGTGTAGACCATTGTTGCCTGATTTATAGCAAAAACATTGACTTTTGCACGTTGATGATGATGATGATGATGCGCCTTTTATAATAGATCTCATATCTTAGAAGCGTATCAGTTCAAAAAATACTAGAAGACCTTACATATTTTGCCATGCACTGCGCCTATTCATTTGGCAATTCAGTTGTAAATTTTATCTTGAAAAAAATAAATCTTCCAAATTTGTTGAATTTTCTTGCAGAAATCGCCTACCCCCCCCCCCCTCCATCCATTTTGTATGATCACAAGGCGTGATTTAAGCTGCTGATATTCTTCTTTAAACGAGTCGGATTTTCAAAATCTATAAGTTGGACTCCCTTTATAGAAGCTTTGAACTGAATTTGCACTGCTTAATGCTGAAATTTTATTGTTTATCCATACATTTTAAGAAAAAATGTATAAAAAAAGATGTTAAAGCCAAATGTTGCCCTAAAAATTCAGAAAATGTAAAAAATTTCGAATTTTCTATGTACAAGCCTTGTTGCCCCTTTAAGAAGCTTAATATGTAAATTATCTAATCAAACACTTCGTCCACCATTTTGAAACACTAATCAATCCAATCTGTGCTAGCGATTCATAGGGCGAGCCAGTGGGATATTTCCAGGGTTCGTACACACCTGGAAATGTCAGGGAAATTGACTTGATTTTCCAAGTGCTGGAAATGTTAGGTAATTTTAAAATTAGGTCAAAAGGGCCAAAGATGACCGGGAATTTTGAAACGGTAGACATGTCAGGGAAATGTCAGGGAAATTTGTATCAGTGTTGAAAAAATAATGTTCCAGAGATTAATGTTTCCAAACTGTTTTGAAACAAACTAACGTCTTGTTTTCAACCTACACCTTGCTCCTTTCTGTCGTATTAAATAAAACAAAAATAGTATATCACGGAGGGATGAACCACTCACCTGGGACTTGGTTATTCACTAGCGCCATAGGCGTTCTACTATTCTGGATACAACTTATTTAAGTATAACGTATTTAAGTGGAGACAAAAGTGAGGATCATTTTGAATTGGCGCTCGGTATAAATATATAATACTTTTGTTCTTTCATATCGATAGCTCGTTGGCCTCATGGTTAGCGTGCCTGGCTTCCATTGTCTAGGTTAGTTGATCGAGACCCGTTCATGTCGAACTTTTTGATTTGCTTG